TCAAATAGTAAAATGAATATTAAAACTATGTTTTACTTTAGTTTGATTTATAATCTTCTACAATTTTTTTATACAATTTGTATGTATTGTCTTACTCGTTCTTTATAAAGAAATAACTCATTATCTTTTAAATAAGCAGTCTAAGATCATTCGTTTGTTAGTCCAGCCAACCACAACTAAATAGCTTGTCCAGTACAAGATAAATCTAAATAAATTTACCTCATTACAAGTAAGACCCAATTAACGTCAGAATGCATTCGAACCTAATTGTTGAAAAATCCTCAAGTCAATTCAAAATACTCCGGCTTTCCTTCAAAGGCAATCCCCAATTCAACTTAAGACACGCTGTTTCTTTTCAAAGACCAACTGCTTGTATCAACTACCTCTCTCCTGAAAATTCCCTTGTTCTCGAGAGTGAAAGATAGAAAACGACGAGTGATCTCTTCAACGAACTCCTAAGTTGCCTCGAGCAAGAAAAAGATCCTCTGAACGAATCGACCACTAGACCACCGTCTTGTTTTGCTTCTTAATGATGCACCTGTCAATGATGGCCGACCATTGAGGCAGAAGGCTAGAAGGAAAGGCAAATAAGTCCTTGTGAGATGTGTGGCCCAATGGTTTTCTCGAGGAATGAAACATGAAAGACCGATGAATTGAAGCTGATGTAGGTAGCTTCAAATATAAGGATATTTTGCATCAATATTGCAATTCAGCAATCCAGTCCTGATGAGTCGTCTCTCGTCCTTCTAAGTTTTTTGTTTTGGCATACGTCAACTTTGCAATTTTTGGGCACTTTTGCATTTTATGGGTAGCTTATCTTACAACGTAATACAAAAAAATATTCTTGCTTTTATATTCTTTTCAAAGAGTTTTTATTTTTTCTCTCCCAAGATTAGTCATTCTTCTTAAATTATAACTGGAACAATTAGATTATTAAAACTTGAACCTACTCTACTAAAATAAAACTATTAAATACAAAACTATTAAACAAAGCCTACATGCCTTTTTTTTTTTTTTCATAAAAAGTATTTGGCTACCATGCAGTTGCTTGCACTGTTACTGAGAGATCTGATTCGTACAAATTTAAGACAAGTGGAGATATTAAAAGTCTCACTTCCAGTAAATTCCTATTTTCTAACTTGTAATTATTTTATACAAAAAGAAGCAAAGAATGAGAGAGGAGTATCCTGATGATTGGTGCCTTTGTGCGTCTTACTTTTGTTAAATTAAATAATAAGAAGTTAAATTACGGAGTAAATTATAAATCAGTCCTTCTAGTTTCATAAAATGAATTAAATAGTTTATCTTCATTGAAAAATTAATTAATTAGTCCTTTTTCATTTATTTTATGTCCCTTTTCATTTTATTTAGTATTTTTTTAATAAATAAAATAGATAAAAAAAAAGATAGCATGGAAAAGTTGACGAGAAAAAAAGGCATTTTTGAAATACATTAATTTTAAATTAAGTATAATAAAAAATAATCAAATATCTAATTAATTAGTTTTTAAAAATCGAAAAACTATTTAATTCATTTTCAAAACTACAAGGATTGATTTATAATCTACTCTTAAACCACGCGTGGCTCAAAATAATACTAATAATAAAAATAGGACAATCAGATAAAAAAAAGTGAAATGGAATGCAGTATTGCAGTTTGACCCAAACATTTTGTTTGGGCCTTGACACCACAGTCCAAATACAGCCTGAATGATATTTTATTTTGGATATTATAACGACAAATGGGCCTTCTGATTGACCCAGTACCTGTTAATTTGCCAGGGCCCAAGAAAGCTCTGAGTTAGTACAGATTGTTGTTGAAAAATCTAATAACCTTTCTAATAGCATGAAAAGAAATAAAATAAAAAATTACTATTTCAAGAAAATTGAAAAAATAACGAAAAGTACCAATAGGTCAAGTTTTAACAAGTGAAAGACCAATTAGTTTTATCCCACTTTTTCCATAGCATGGTTTTGTTCCTATAGCTATGCTTATACCAGATGGTTTTACATACAAAGCAAATGAAAAAAAAATTTACAGGAAAAGTAAACATCCTTGGACCAAAAGACGCCAGTGTATGAATTTTAATTTAATAGTTGTGTATCCCATTAGTTTCTCTACTAAAATAAAGTTTGAGTACGAGCGACTCCTCATATAATTTCGATGAATTAAAAAAATAAAATAAAAGACACTAGTGTATTTAATTATTGATTTGAGTTTGCCATTAGCAACAAATTGGGCATTTTAACAATATAAATTTCAAAACTCTAAATATTATTTGTGAATTGAGGTGTGTTCAGATAAAACTGTGCAATAATTGAGTTAACACGCAACTCTTAAAAAAAAAAAAAATTGGAAAAAAATTGATAGTGAAAAACCTAAAAGTTAAAGCAATTTGGGAATTAAAAGAAGAAAGATGGTTATTTCGATGCACTTCAAATTTTTGAGTGCAGACTACTGCAACTCTTTTATCATTTGAGAAGAATTAAGGGTTAAAACCCAACAACATCATATGTTGATTATATTCGTCTTCTTTTTCGGGAAAGAATTTCTCTGTTTTTAGGTGTTTATGGGATGGGGAAGATGATTAGTGCTATCTTTAGGAAGTATGGAAGAAAAAAAAAAGAACTTAAAACTTACTAGTGCCTTTCCTAAAACTTCATGACATTCGGTCAGAAGCCTACTTCATGAGCTAAGGTAGTCTCCAACCAAATTTGCTCCCAGACCCATGTTGTTGGGCTCTATGTTTTAAGTTCACCTCCCGAGGCCATTGTCAAAACATAGTTTTCTTGTTGGGTTTGTTCTACGATATTCTAATAAGACCCCATGGCTATGATGAATTAATCATTAATAGCACTGTTAAAACAACTTGTTGGGTGTTCGAAACTTCTACCATGTCCATTTCTAGGTTCCCCCAGAAACTTCCCCATGTTGACTCTACCAAATGGAGTCTAAATCCTTGATTTGCAAAATCTAGCACCAGAAGCTTCAAGAACTCACCAACCTCTACCACATGATCCAATATAAATACCTTCGATAGCAAATGAATAAACAAACAAGCAGTACTTGCAAACAAAACAGCTGAAGTTTTTAGCTAACATCTCTTTCTAAAATTCATAACCAAAACAACTTTCCAGCACAGAAAAAGAAAATTAACTCCTTTCCTCTCTCTTAAACCAAAACAACTTGTTTGATCCATTTCGGGGTCCCTTGACCGAAAACTCTGACACCCAAATGGACTGGAGGGAAACTCCTCATGCCCATGTATTTGAAATCGATCTTCCAGGCTTTACAAAAGAGGACGTGAAGCTTGAAGTTCATGAAGGGGCAGTGCTTCAAATCAGTACTGCAGAGGGGCAAGAAGAAGCCGAAGAGAAAGGAGACAAATGGCACTGCAAAGAGAGGCCCCGTGGTGGGTTTTCAAGGAGGTTTCGATTGCCTGAAAATGCTAAAGTTGATGAGATTAAGGCCTCGATGCATGACGGGGTTCTTGTGGTGACAGTGCCTAAAGATGAATCAAAAAAGAAGGCTAAAAATAAGGCTGTAGAAATTTCTGGAGATGATGGCGAACGACATGTTTCCAAGGGACTGGGTCGTTTTGTTTGCTGCAAGGCTTAGTGTTGTCTTTGTTGAGGTTCTTAATTTGCCTTTGGTGCGTGATCTGTTTGTCTTCTTGTTTCAAGATTCTGTGTTGTGGTTTTGATTGAGAATATGAATGTAAAAAATGTTGTAACTTGATCTGTACATTTTGTAATGCTTGAAGGTTAAGCTGAAAGGAAAGTCAATTAATTTTGTAAATAACCAACTAATCAGTATTTTTTATGAAGTTTTTTTCTCTTAGTGGGTGTTATGCAATGATTCCCTCCATTTTGATGGTCATCCAGCAGTTGACATCGGGATGTCCTTTCTGAACTGGGTAAAATGTCTATAGCGAATATTGGATCCCTCATTTTCTACACTGATGATTGGTGAAGCGCAATTCCATGTTATGCAATGGTTTGTTTTTACTATTGCTTAACAAATTCAACTTAAATTTAGAGAGACAAAGCATCATCAACTTTTGAATATGGTGACCGGCATAGACTTCGTTAGTCTCGATAGAATTTGAGTTGGCATTCTAATTCTCCATACCTCGATCTCAAGCCATTCATTAGTATTTGTTATTAGATCAATAGTTAGTTAATTAGTGCCCTCTTTGTGAACTTGATGGTTTTGATGCAGGACCTTAGAATAATTGTTTTCTTTCCAAATCCAACCATGTCAGTTTCGTTTTTTTTTTTTTTTTTTTTTTAACACCCTAAATCACATTGAAATGTACTGAGGATTTCATAAAAGGAGAGTTGAATTTTTTTTTTAATATTTATAATTAGAACATTCTTAATTTTTGGTCAACTCTTGAATTTTTTAAGACTAACTTAGTCAAATTCTGTTATCATTGAAAAAAATAATTATAACTAGTTATTTTCTAATAGCTTGAACTTGGACAAATCAAAATAATTAACTTAATAGTCTTTTGGATTGCTGCAATTCCCTATTCTATCAGATTTATCGATTCCTCTTGTAAACCGAAAAATAAAAATCTAAGAAAGACAAGGCAACACGTGTGGATTACATGACTTTTAAGGCGGAGGATAAGAATTCGAAGAACTGAACAAAAAAATTAGTATTTCGAGCAACCTGATTTGCGCAGGAGAGCCAAACCCCAGATAGGTTTTTCACCAGTACATGCCCACTTTTCTTCAGAGCTGTCAAGCGTCAAGTGACCTTAATTAACTTTAAAATATAGTATCTATCGCTTACCTAAGAGTCCCTGCTTTTACATGTATGCAAGTCATAAAATTTGTGAATACAGAGTGCTCCTCACGTATTTCTTTCTCTACAACATATAAATTCAACGATGAATCAACTATAAAACAAGGCGGAGAACACAATCAGTAAATACTTAACATTTTTTTGTCAATATTTCATGCCAGTGCTGACAAAGAGATCAAAAAAGAAACATGAAGGGGTGGTTTTTCACTTTTCTCCTCCTTGTTCAGTTTGAGTTGGATATGGTGTCAGCCATATTACCTCTGAACCCTGTCAAAGATTTAGTTAAGCCTCTAGGAGTACCAACGATATTGTCTCCTCAAGATTTCTTGTCTTTTAGTTATTATCAGAAAACTTGCCCTGCTGCTGAAGGAATCATTCACCAGAATATGAAAGCTTGGTTTCAAAAGGATTACACATTGGCAGCTAGCATCATTCGCTTGCACTTCCATGATTGTGCAGTTAGGGTAAGCACTTGAGAAACTTATTCATTTGCAAATTTATATACGAAGATATATAAACTTGATGACCAGAAATCCTGCATCTCTAATATCCTTCAGACTGATATTCTCAGCCTGAGAAAAAGGTTTGAGGGTTTGAAATCTTAAATATTACCAAAATGATGGTCATTAATTGATAGATTCTTAGTTGTCTCGTAAGCTTAAAAATTGAAAAAATGTTGACCTTGAATATATTGACTACATGCAATGCAGGGATGTGATGCTTCAATTTTGTTGAATTATCGGAACAGCGAAAGGAGGGCATATGCTAGCAAGACACTGAGAGGTTTCCAAGTGATTGATGATATTAAAGCAGAACTTGAGAGAAAGTGTCCAAAAACTGTCTCATGCGCGGACATTCTCACAGCTGCTGCTAGGGATGCCACTCTTCTACTTGGAGGTCCGTTCTGGGAAGTCCCATTTGGGCGTAAAGATGGAAAAACTTCCATTGCCAAAGAAGCTGACCTTGTTCCTCAGGGTCGCGAAAATGTCACTGCTCTGATTGGTTTTTTCGAGGAAAGAGGATTGAACATTCTCGATCTGGTTGTTCTCTCAGGTTCACACACAATTGGAAGGACCAGTTGCCATTCATTCCTGCACAGACTCGCTAACTATAAAGGAACTGGCAGGCCTGATCCTACCCTTGACAGACATTACTTGAGGAACCTGACAAGAAGTTGCAAATGGAGTTCTAACCTGGTGAATCTAGACGTAACAACTCCAAAGACTTTCGACATGGAGTATTATAACAATCTTGGGAAAAAAATGGGACTGCTGTCAACAGATCAAGAACTGTACTCAGACCCAAGAACTGCGCCATTCGTTTCAGCATTCACAAATCAGCAGCCTGACCTTTTCTTTAACCAGTTTGCAGTATCAATGGTGAAGCTTGGAAACGTTCTTGTCCCTAGTCCTCCAAATGAAAGCGAAATCAGACTGAACTGTAATTATGTTAATCCCGCATCTCGCAAAAAAGCCAAACCACCTCCACGTAGTAATGTCCGTCCAGCCCGGCGCTGTCACACTCCATCTAAGAACTAAGTCAGTCCAGCCAGGCGCAGTTACAATCCTTGATGGATGTCCATGCCATAGTGGTTTTTCCCTATTTTTTTTGTTCTTATTTCTTCACAATTAATGATTTTGATTTCATTTAAATAAACCGATACTCGGCCTTGTTTGTCTTGCATAGTGAAGCAGTAGTCTAATCACTTTAATTTTATCTAAAATTATTCCCTTGTAGTTTGATCAATTAATCTCACCCCTGAATTGTAATTTTGGATTACCTATGTCTTGATGCCTCAAGAGTTCGGAGTTAGCTAGAGATTCACTGTAATAAATTGCTGACGTAGCTGGAGTGCACCTTAAGAAGTGAGTCAACTTACAAAAACTCCCTTGTCATCTTACAGCAAATTGACTCAATCATCCTTCCAAGTTCCAAAAAAAAAAAAAAAAAAGAATGGATGGTTGATACAATGTCTATTCTTAATAAGATAATATTCAAAAAAACTTTTAAGTGTGAGAAAAACTTGGTCTGATAAGGTGAGCCATGCCAGTTTCAGGAGCTTGTATATTTATTACCTATAATGAGATTGCTGACTTTATAAGATTGAGCCTATTAAGCCAAAAAATGCAGACTTTCAGGCCCCTAATTAAAGGTTTAAGGAGTTCACTTATATTATCATGGCACCCACTAATTGACATGTCATTTTGTTCAATAGTGAGGGACGGCAATTCTATCTGGGAAGAAATATGGGCCCATCCTCTTTTAATTGTATGGTTCCATTCAACGCACCAATTTTATGTGTTATATTTTCTTGCTTTTTCCCCCTTTTGAGAATCTTTTCACGCTTAATTCTGTAAATTTCTTCGTTGGTCATCTAGATTTTCATATAGAGACAAAATCGAATTATAAATCAAGAAAACTTTTTATTACAGAGAAAAATAGTTTAACTGTTACAAATTGTACCATATGCTTTGTATTCCTAAGTTTTTTATTAGAAATTATGATATCACTCTTGGCAAAAGAATGCTTTCTATTCTTTTCAAGTGTAACGGGGTTATTGAACCAGTAAAAAATTAAATTTTTTCAACAGATAAAATGGGTGTTGGCAGTTGGGATTTAACAAAACTGAAGAGGTGAGGATTCTTTCTTTTTCTGAACTTTTCCTCTAGAAATCAAAAGGAGCATCACATGGTCTTCTATATGTATGTATATTAATTTTGTATTATTTGCCGACACTGTACTATTAATTTAAAACTTTTCCAAAATAATTTCTCCTAACAACTCGTCATTACCATTTCTTGACCATTCCAACTTTTCACACCGTCCCATCCCAGCAAGAAATATCCAAAAGTCATAACCAGCACCCCAGAGAAAAGAAAATCCACTCCAAAGATCAGACCCAGTTGGTTAAGATCCCAAATCCAGTAGAGAGTGGCTGACTGGTTGAATCTTGCTAGCAACAGAACAGAAAACCATGACAAAGAAGGCAGTGTTGATAGGCTGCAACTACCCAGGGACAAAAGCTGAACTCAAGGGCTGCGTAAATGATGTTAGGAGGATGTACCAGTGTCTTGTCGATCGTTATGGTTTTTCTGAAGATAACATAACTGTCTTGATAGACACGGATGATTCTTACACACAGCCAACTGGGAAAAACGTACGCAAGGCGCTGAATTATCTCGTTCGCTCTGCTGAGCCTGGAGACTTCTTGTTTGTCCACTATAGTGGACATGGGACAAGGTTGCCTGCTGAAACTGGAGAGGATGATGATACTGGTTACGATGAGTGCATTGTCCCTTGTGATATGAATCTTATCACCGGTACTCTCTTTATCTTTTCTTGTCTTTTTGAGTGTTTCTTTTTTGTTTGAAATATTTGGTTTTTGATTGGTGTGTCCAATTGGGTTCTTTCTGCACTTTGATAATCAACTGTTTGGGATTGATCTCATTTGTTTCTGGGGGTTCTTCTTTCTTTCTTTCTTTCTTTCTTTCTTTTTTTCAATTGCGATCATCATGGATTGCTTTAGATCTCTTTGTGGATAGGAATATTTGATGAAAAAGAAGTACTTTATTGTTTGTTTGGTTGGATTCTAGAAAATTGATACCAAGGAGTTATGCTATTGTCTATGGTTTTCTAAGAAAATACCATTAGTTTTTACTTGTTTGTTTTTAGATTTTGTTGATTGTTGTCAGTAGAATGTCTTGACTCTTGATCTTTGTGGTTGAGACTGACAATATGGAATCTTGATTAGTTGCCTGTCTTGGATCTTTGCATTTTCTATGTTTTATCATTCTGTTGTGGAGAAGCTGTTACTGTTCAAAGCTATTACGATTGTTGAAGGGGTAATTTATTGTGCAGTCTCTTCATTCTAACAAGAGATGCAGTTTTTGTTATTACAAAAACAAATTGTTGGATCTTTAATTAGAGGTTTTTGATAAATATATGTTTGTTTGGTTGTTTCTTGGCATGATGATCTTACATCTCATTTCAAGTTCCCATTTTTTAGTATTTATAAGAGATAATCCAATTATGAATTCTGAAATAATTTGGAGCCTGTTTGATGATCCATGCATTTGTTCAAAGAGGATCAATTCATTGGCAAACGGCATTACTGATGGTGAGGAGCATGGACCATAAATTACTGAAGCAACTAATTAAAAAATCAGAGCCAAGGGTTCTTATCATTCATTTTGTTTTTAAACCCTATAATTACTGACTATCCAGTTCCCTTGTACTGTATATCTGTTATTAATCTAGTTTCTCAAAATTCAATAACTTGATTGGATATGGAAATGATTTTCCAGAATTATTTGCTTCCATTGACTCCATAGTTCCTAGAATGATTCGTCACAAATGGCGCTTGAGCGAATTCCCTGCTGACTTCCGACTCGGATGTTTGTGAACAGATGATGATTTCAGAGATTATGTGGATCAGGTCCCAGAAGGTTGTTGCATAACAATTGTATCTGATTCCTGCCATAGTGGTGGCCTCATTGATGAGACTAAAGAGCAGATAGGGGAGAGTACAAAGCGTCAAGAGGAGGAGGAGGAGGAGTCTTCTGGGTTCGGATTTAAAAACTTATTGAAACAGACTGTGAAAGATGCATTTGAATCTCGTGGAGTTCACATCCCTTCTGGATTGCATCACAGCAGGCACGGCAAGGAGGAGGAAGATTTTGATGACAGAGCAGTCGAAGGAGAGTATGGTGAGCGAGAGTATGTGAAAAGTAGATCTCTGCCTCTATCAACTCTTATAGAAATACTCAAGCAAAAGACTGGTAAAGATGACATTGATGTTGGGAAGCTGAGGCCAACTCTTTTTGATGTCTTTGGAGAAGATGCAAGCCCTAAGGTGAAGAAGTTCATGAAGGTTATCATGGATAAACTCCGACATGGTGATGGAGAAAGCAGTGGTGGATTCTTTGGAATGGTTGGGAATCTAGCTCAGGAATTTCTCAAACAAAAACTGGATCATGATGAGGGGTATGCACAGCCTGCCGTGGAGACAGAGGTGGGTAGCAAGCAAGAAGTTTATGCTGGAGCAACTAAGCGTGCACTACCAGATAGTGGGATTTTGATCAGCGGCTGCCAGACTGACCAAACTTCTGCTGATGCCAGTCCAGGAGGAAATTCAGCTGAAGCATATGGAGCTCTTAGCAATGCTATCCAGACTATACTTGCGGAGGCAGATGGGGGCATTTCTAATCAGGAGCTTGTTTTGAAGGCTAGGAAGATGCTGAAGAAGCAGGGTTTCACTCAGCGACCTGGCCTCTACTGCAGCGACCATCATGTTGAAGCTCCATTTGTGTGCTGACCTTAATGCTTTCTCCAGTACTAAGCGACGATAAATAAATTTTGTGAGTTTTTTTTTTCTTTTTTTTTTTTTTTGGGAGTGGATTGTGCTGATTTTTATGGTGCTTTCTATGTGAACAACAAAACCTTGGACCGAAAATGGTAATATTCAAGTTTTATTGGCGCCTGAACCCTGATGCAGGCTGATACCAATCACATAGACCATACTTTCCAGTAAACCCTTTTTTTCCCAACATGTGATCCAAAGTGACGGTTTTTTTTTTTAGTCAATGGCAGTAAAAATCAACAAATGAATTTAGGTTTAAAGTCTTGCGCTACATGAGGGAAAAAAAAGATGACCTTTATATCATAGAGTTTTAGTTATAGGTTGACCTTATAACATAGAAGCTATCCCTCCATGAATACCAGTTGGTGAACCATACAGTTGTCCTTAGAACCTTGACGATCACGGTAGTAATTTTCTTGGCAAAAATCACTTCAATTTACTGATTTTTGCCTGTCTTTTGGAGCAACTGTTGATTTTAATTTCATCAAACTTGTTAATGAAATTTGTAAGTTACTCAACAAAATATGGCTGTTCCGATTCAAGGCCCCTCATATTATCAGCACCTGACTGCGTTTTGAGCTTGGGAAGAGCTAACCCTCCACATCCTGGCCGCGTTTGCTTAAAGAAAGGATGCCTATAATGCACTACTTTCCTAGTAGATGACGCTTCTACATTCTCTAGTCAGCCTGCTTTCCATGATGATTAATTAACAGGAGCCAAAACATGGGGCAAGTAACAGTGGGCAGCTTTTAATTCAACGAATTTGCCCCACGAAGAGTCCTTCACATCTAACGGTGCTGAAAATCCATGTCCTGATTTGGGTCCCTTAATTCATTGAACAATCACATCCGGATTTGAGTCCCTTAGTTCATCAAACATACCATGACTAATAATCATAATTTTAAATCGTAGACATAACTATAAAAATAACTACAATTGTAATTGTAAATCATAATTTATTATAATAATAAAATAATAATCACTACAATTAATGTCATGGATGCATTAATAGACTAAAAACTACAATTGCAATTGTAAATATAATTTACATATTTTTAATAGTTTTACTAATCGAGCATAATAATATCTCAAATAATTTAATATCATACAACAATAATTAAATTTGTTACAAAAAATAAAATAAAATTAATAATACTTCTGATAATTTAATATCAAACAAACAATAATAAAATACAACAAATAATAATAAAAATAATAATGACTATTATTTACCATCATCATATAATGATAATTATATATAATACCATTATTTATATAAAACGCTATTATACTCTTTATAACGACACATAAAAATAACGAACATTGCCAAATCTGTTAAATAACAGCAGTTATTTAAAACTGTGCTCGTACCAATGCTGCTATAACATAATGTACTTTAGTTAGTAAATGCTGCTACGGTGCTTCTCTCGTGAGGATGTTGGCTATCCAAAAAATCATATTTTAAAAAGTGGCATAATTGAGGACAATATGAACATGAAAAAAGAAGAATTTCTTTATCAGCTATAGAATGATAATTATATGGTGATTTATACAAATTAGTTCGAGTAGAACTATGACTCATACAACCTGGCAACCTATAACTTACTGCCATCTGGGATACTGTTAGAGATATACAAAATTATATGCCAAAAAATGGAGGTGAAAAGCAAAGGACAAAAAATCAGTAAGAATGAGCCTGCACAATTTCCTTGCATGGTGCAGGGGATGACTTTTTAATTTCTTCACTGTGAGGTTTGTGCTTTGTATCTTCAGACTTGAATCACATTCTCAAGTCTCCAAAGTAACATTCCAACTTTCCGACTACTGCTCACATACTTTTGAACAAAAGATTACACCATCTTAATCATCAATATCTTGAACCCATGCTAAATCTGCAACCAAGACGACACCACACTAGAATTAGATCCATGTAAATTTCAATAAAATAGATTTATATCCACACATTTTTTTATATATTTAAAGAGGCGAGGCAAGTAATTGAAGTAAGCTTCATCCGTTCTAGAAATATTCTCAAGTCACATCAATTCCTTGTGTCAAAAACAGCATTGGAAATGGCACAACCAATTTAAAACGGTACCGCGAGAAAAGAAAAAGGGTGATAACAGAACTTCATGTATGTGTGCATAAAGGCAGGATAAGACTGCATATGCGTGAGAGAAGGTACAGAGATAAGAGAGACCTTGAAGTACAGATTCCACAGCTGCATTTGGGACAAGGAGCCCAACAATTCGCTTGTTATCTGTCGTAGTTTCTATACGCACAACACGGAGCCGCTTGTGGCTTTGACGTGCCTGAAGAGAATATTATTGAGGTTTCAATTTATATCAAAGGCAATTAAATCATACCAATAGCTCATTCCATGAGTTGATTCCTTGATAAGAAATTTCGTTTACAAGTATTAATAGCAGTGACATACTTTAACTCTTTCCAAAAATACCCCAATAAAAGCAACAAGGACATTATTGTCGAACAATTATATTAAGAGGCAATGCTAAAAGGAAACAAACTGAAAAGCTTTGGTTTCTTTTTGTGGGCATACAATCAGGGACATGGGAAAAAAATCCAGACAATAAATGACTTGGAAGAAGTCCCATCCACAAAATTCCAATTCTCAAAACATCCATTTTATTTAAAAAGGAAAATTTTAAGCACAAGGCAGTAATGTAGAGAACTCGTCTTTATTTATGTTCCTTCCGCTTAATATTCTAGAACTTGGCTCAGTTGAGTTAACATAAATATATTTATAACCTAAAAAAGATTCACTTCATAACCAACAACTCTTTTTCAAGTGATCCATAAAAACAAAGGAAGAAGAAGAAGGATGAAAACCTACCAAGCTAGAAATCGACTAAAAAGAAAACTATCTTTCCACCTTGTTCCTCATGTTTATCCCTCCACCAAAAAAGTAGATCAAACTTAATAGAGAATTTTCCAGTTATAGATCAATCACCTAGATCCATCAAGAGAACGCCTAACTCGAGCACAAGTAATTGAAGTTATATTTCCTTTGACACTACATTAATATAAGACCCTCGGCCAAAACGTTTCAAAAGTGTGGCCCACAGAAAGAAACTCATGGCATAAAATAAAGTGTAACTAGTAGAATGCAGTAAAAAAAAAAAAGTTAGATTTCAGTGATAAAATGCCTCAAAGTCAAAAAACTTGAAGAGGATAAATACATGTAAAACTGGCACTCTGGCTCATGCGGTCTATAGCAGAAAGGACTTACAATTGAAAAATGAGCAAGATAGCATTTACTAAACATCATGATCGTGGAAATTAGAAATCATTAAGAAACCCTGTATTACCTGCTTAGAAAGGGCTTTTTCAATAGTGCCCCAAACAGGAAGAATAAGGCCACCCAAAACATTTACTTCCTGTAGTCTTCTGCCAACTGTACAAAAGTTTCCAAGCTTACAATTGGGGCCATGCATGCACTGCAGGAAAAATTAACAGCAAGCTATTGTAAGAACAACAAGGTACTGACGGATTAGCAAAAAGTTTATGCATCAAGTGTATATGGAGGAAATGGTTAGTTCAAGAAGAAAATTATTTACATTCCAGATTGATCAATAGGACTATGAGTGCATTACAACAAAAATGGGTCCAATAAGTCACAGCATGTTGGACAATATACAAGACATGTACCTTTCACTTGGGCACAATTCTGTTCGACTACATTACAAGGGGCAGTGGGATACTAACAGCGAGGATTATCAATGACATTAATCAATCAATGCTACAACATCCCACCTTCTCTCCAAGTCACTTTCAAAATAGTATTATCAATTAACTCCAGTGTTTATCCCCATTTAAGTATGGACGAACGCATTACAAACTGGAAATTTTACATGGAAGATTCCAATTTGAATATTCACACAAAACTTGTACTGTTGAAACTGAAGTTGGAAGGTTGAAGCTTGCATAAAATTCATTACCAATTTGAACAAATACAATGAAGAGAAATCCACATCAAAGTACAAAACTCATATTTCCATGTCCTAAAATAGTTGTTCACTATGAAAAGTCAAAACATAAAATGCAATTAATTTTCATCACCAGTTAATCTATCGTGTCAGCTTAGCAGTTATCCTATACTTGGCAATGTGAAATGTCAACACTAACAGAATTTATCATTTGAGCAATACTCAACACCCTTTTGTACCTGTTTAGATGAAATTTCATATTCATCCTCCCAACCACTGCAGGCCTTCTCTAACGACAGCAATTTTCTATATTTGTTTTTCAACTCTGCCAGAGCCATTTCCCTGGAGAAAGAAAAAAGGGTTCAGTAAACACAGTAGATTCAATATAAACTTGGACTAAGCCTGGTAATATTTGATACCTTACCGACTCCCCAACAGCAGGTCTGACGATCTTAAACATTCCAGAAGCAGAGCTGAAACAATGAAATAAACAAAGACACTGAAATGATGGATATAAGATAACCCAATAAAATAGCAAGGAACCCTAATAGTACAATGAGCCTTAAAACAGGATTGTTTCACGGAAAACAAATCCCAAGTTTCTCATACCAAACTGCCAACTTAATCTGACCAAATGTGCTGCAGCATAAAAATAAAATAGCCCACTACTCTCTATTGAGGAAGTAGAAGTGTGTCATGGTGCTACGATGCTCACACAACAAACTCTTTTCATGCATTGTAAATTCATAATTGAAAACGTTCTTCACCTAACACAACATGCCCCCAAAATCCACAAAACATAACGAGAGGAATTTGGCAGAAGAAGTTTTTAAAACACTCTTATCCTAGCATTGTTAAATGGAAGTCAGATAAGTTAGTACTCCTTTTGTGGCAAAATTACTATTGACTTGTATTAAAGCCTTCAGTCAAATCCTTCATTGACATTTTCCCCCTCTTTTCTGCTCTTTTTTAATGTGAAGAAATCTGGAAGCTAAATTGGAAATACTTCATCAAAGATCAGTTCCTCTCCAAGCTACAGTATCAAGCGTCCAGAAACCCAAGCTAAAGATACTTTCCTAAAACCTCAGTGGACTCTTGGACTTCTGATTCACAAACATGATTATTGTCATCTATGGCTCCAAGGTTTCTTAAATCAAAGAAGTAATGTTTCAATGAAATCCACTGATTTGTGTCATATAATTTTACGATTCACATAATAGAAAGTTTACAATTCACAAATAATAAACAAACAACCGAATACAAACATACAGATACAGTTAAATCTAGCAATACCTTTCAAATGCTAAAATAAAGTGACGTCTTCCTAACCACTCCCTCTTAGATTCATAGAATCCATCATTCGAAGAACCGAGCCCATCCTTTTGCTTCTCCTCAAGCATGGTACTTGCAGACTAGCATGAATGAACATTCACAAATTTACAATTATTTATCAAAAGCAATATAGCATTCACCATCAGCATTAAAACACACATGCACAAAGAAAATAGAAGAAAGAAGAAAAGCACCTCCCATGTGATTCCACGATCCAGTGTGAAAGTAAACAGAACAGTTGATGCCCCAGACATTTGATCAATGTGAACAGTCTGTAAGATAAAAGTCAACATCGCTGGTTGAGTAAAGCCACTAAAGGAACAACAAGACAGTATACCTTGGGAGTTCCTTGTAATTCAATAATGTTAGCTTTCATATCAACAATCCCAGAATCAAGATTCCCTTCAATGCGGGCATTCTGAACAAGAAGATCTAAGATACCGACGAACAAATCAAACAATCTGCAGTGAAAGAGTCTAGCATGTTAAATTTATTTCTGACTGCAACAAGCAATCATTTTCAATCAACAAAATAGAAACCTGTTCTGAATCTCAGGTGGCAGTCCCAAGATCCGATTAAGGAAACGCCCGACATCATGCATGTCTGAATCAATTATACGTCCAGACAACTTTCCATAGTCTTTCCCATTACCTATATAAGATGTGGGAGTTTAGAGTTATAATTGTTACAAACAAAATGATGATTAAAGATAATAAATCGGAAAAAATGATGGCATAACAAAGAAAATGAAATTAATGAAAGTATATTTGGACCGTTCAATCCAAGAAAAAGTAGTGAAACAGTAAATCACAAGAAAAACAATACCAAGAACAGAGTCTCGAACTATTCCAACAGAGACAAGAGCAGCTTTTGCCTTCGTTATAAAATCTTGAACTGTCTCTGGCTTTTCAGATGAACATCCTGGAGGTACAACTGGCAGAGTATCCTGAAAACTGAATTTTAGTTATTCCCAACAATACCTGGCACTGCAATTTTCCACTATAAATCCAGCATGAAGAGAGGAACTAAAATATAATCACAAAAAAGATGATTAACACCTGTTCCATAATCCCTCTATACATCACCATCAAAGCCTTTTTCCCATGCGCACTATCATAATTGTAAGCACTCAAAGAAAGCCCTGCCCTGCAAAGTATTATGAGACATACAATCAAGCAGAAGACATCATTGATAACTCCTATTATTCCCCTGAGAAAAAATATCCAAGTTACCTGCGGTCTCCCTGTGTTAAGGCCCCAAGAGATTCTAATCTCTTGGCAACAATAGATGCAAAGCGGCGTTCTCCACCAAGATTAGTAAATAATAGCCTGCAAAAGGAGAGAGAGAGAGAGAGGGGTATGTTTTCAGTCCAACAATTTACGTCAACTTTACACTTTGCAACTATTCAGCATATATATGTTAAACTTTACTACTTTTTTTAATACTAATAATAAATAAATAAATAACTGATGAGAATAGTTTTCATTTAAAAATCAGAAAAGCAAAGAAATTGTCCAATGTGGTCATTTCACTTCTATCAATTTATTCTAGAATCAAAATCAGCAATGACCAAAAATGCAAGATTCACCCGAATTCTAACTTTGCCCCCTCTTTGTTTTGGTAGCTCATTCAACCTCTACCATGTGCCTTGCTATCCACTTCTATCGTCTGCCATCTGATATGATCTCTAACTTGCTACATGCTCAATTCTCAAAATTTCATTCAAGATCTTCATTTAAGATATCATAATGTCATGGATATTTTGTGCGCATCGTCAAGCACTATGCTATATCAAGTCTCCTGGCTTCATGCTCACCATGTACTCGTCCATGTATGAAAAGGGAGTCACCTCCAGTAACTCGGAACAAGGCTTCTCCAGTTGTTGGTTATGATAAGTGAGCAGAGCCTATAAGTACTTACTACCTTACCTACCTAATTTGAAGGTGATGTTAAAATAACATAAATTCCAGAGATGAATGAAATCCAAGTTAAAATCAACCCTCTTCCCTGCGCTTGGATTATCTTATCAACCAAAACTAACCTAAGCCCACAACAAAAGATCCCCCAAGCCCCTATTTTAATATTTCTGAAATTAAGAACAATATGTACTGGTTTTTTAAATCATTTGTTCATGAAGAGCCAAATGGCAAGCAGACAAGACTACTAAAAAAAAGTGAGGGGCGTAAGCTTTTAGGAATTTTAGATTTAGTATACAGCAAAACAAAGTAAAATATTACTTCCAAAAGGTGAGTATTTAATCTGACACTTGTTCAATGATGCAACAAGAAAATCAAATAGATGAAAGAGAATTAAACAAGCATGCCCAGCCAACCTATACACGGGTGCAGAAGCTTGATTTGATCGGTGTGTTCTTCCGAACTGTTGAATTGCTCGGTCAGCACTCCAAGGAAGTTCTAGCGTTAAATGAACCCTTCTTTTCTGTTGGTAGAAATGTCATAAGGCTCTTAATGAGAAAAAAGATAACTTAAAGAATTTGCAACTTACATAAGCAGAACCAGGCAGGAATAAATTCTTTTCTGTTGATAGAAATGTCAAATGGAACTTAATTGGAAACGAGGCAGCTTAAAAAAAATATACAAATTATTCAAAGCAGAAAATGCAGAAATGAGAAGAAGATGCCAAAGAACCGTGCAAACAAACAAAAAAAATTTATAACTTTAGAGATTGTCAGAGCAATACCAGGCAGACAAAAAAATTCAGAGTATTGGGCCCACCTGATTTTTTGCTCTTCTATCTGCCTGTAAAGACACACCAGCTGATCCTGCTTCGGAAATGATGGCAACAAATTTCTTACCATCCATGAAAAGCTGCTTCTCATTCATGTTGACCATTTCCATGGTGACATCCTTTCTAAAATAAAATAAAAAATAAAAGAACAGAAAAAACTCAGTTATGTGGAATGAAATTAAACAATGAGTGAAAGGGGAAATCACAACAACTTACGAGTTTCGTGGCAGATAAGTTACACCTTTTCCACTGGTGGCCCTTACAAGCATGCCTCTCCTCCCAGTCATTTCAGCAACTTTATCAGGGCCTCCAAGCTGCAAAATATTAAATGCACGGTGAACATGGGTTTCTTTTTTGCCAAAGGAACAATTTATTATTAGATCAAAGTGAAAGGAAGATTGCAAAATGCAGAATATGACATCATCCATAAAAGGATAAAAGAACCAGAAAAAAAAAAAAAAAGAGTTTCCTAACAGATTACATATCAACCAAGGTAATGGAAAAGGGTGCTGAATTATGTAAAGTTATGTGAAAAAAAATCTCTGAACCTATGATATTCCACAGGTGACTGGAAACATGATATTCTTAGGAAAATACAAAACAAGACACTTATAAAACCACACTTTATTTTATCTCCAGAAGAGAAAAAGAAAAGGGAAAAATAACAAAGAGGAGAAGAAAACCAGGAAAATGAGACTGCATAACTAAGGCAACATTTGACATGAAAGTCTGCGACTCTTTGCACAGCAACACAGCAAAAAATCAAAGCCCATTTAGAAAGGCTACATCAAGAAAAATGCACTAGTAGAGTTTGCTGTCGCTCTCCCTGCCCCAAGAGCCCAATACAAGAGGAAAAAATTGGTTGAAAAGCAAAACTTTTTACAAATTATAACTTTTTTACAGGATTGGATAACTTGTCTGGAAAATAAGCATTAGCAATAACAAACTATCAGAACATGCCAAATGTGGGAGACTACTTATCAGTAATGTACACAGGTCTATGTTTACATGCATGAGTGTGTGTGTGTATTAGAGATAAAGAGGAGAGGTCGGAATGTGGTTGCTACCTGATCAATAATATCATCCAAAGGATTGTTTGGAAGATCCAAAGATCGAATTATCTCCAAAATTTTCGTTTTGCGTTCCAAAGCTGTTTCATACCTAATATCGAGTTCATAAATTATATAAAGATGCTTTTAACAATTAATAATTTAGTATAAATGACCCCATGACCACCGACACCCCAAATGAGAAAAGTAATTGTAGCATGAATAAGATTACTAGGGAACAGGAAAAAACAATTAGCTTCCAAATGTTGTATCTACCTCTTTGTAAGTTCAACAAGATAGGCATGCTGTTGTTGAAGAAATTCTTCTGTTTTTTCCTTGCACGAATGACAAGACCAATCTGCAGATACTAAATCTGTAACAGGTGGCACTAAACATGAAGGATGGACCAGTTGGCCACAACAAGAGCATTGGAGCAATTTCTTCCTTCCCTGCAGTTAAAATTTTATAAATAATAACACATTACCAATATTGAAAAAAAAAAAAAAAAAAAAAACCAGAAACTACCTCTTCTGAATTGCATATCTCGCAGATCTGAAACTCATCATCAGATCCATTGGATTCACCTCCAGAATCAGCTGTATTGGTGAGTGAGATAAAGAAATTAAGAAAAAAAAAAAGAAACAATTTCAGAATTTGCATCATAGCATACAAGATAAATTCCTCCAAACTTAAGCAGTAAAGCCCCATATTGCTATAAATATGTGGTGCGTGTGTGTGGGTGGTGGTGGGTTGGGGGGGTGGTTTGGAAAACAGCGTCAACAAATTTGGCAGGTGAGTTGCTAACTAAGGAAAAGGCAATGCATTCAACAAGGAAACAAGGAAGTTCTCAGGAAAAGACAGAACATATAAGAATAAAACCATATGAGAGCCTTAAAAGGTTCAGACACTGGATTTCTTCTCTTTTTTTCCTTTTCTTCAACAAATGAAGATCAGTCATGTACCAAGAATGCAAAGAAGAAGCATCAATTTGCAAACCCATGATATAATGAAAGAAAGACTCGTATCATGGTTCATGATTTACTGCAATAGATCAATTAATGTCAGACTTCAGAAACTTACTTCCAGACCCTTCATCAAATTCATCATCGCTTTCAGGTTTCCATCTCGCAGCTTTCCTAACTCTCCCTTTCGATGAAACACCAGGTGTTGCTGAATGCCTCTTCCGTTGAAGTTCCTTTACGCCTTCCTCTCCTACATAAAACAAGAAAGAGAACTCCATGATCCATATAAGCTGTAATGCATAAGGTACAATGAACACAAAGCATAATTACATAGTTACCTTGTTGCTCTGGTTTTTCTGGCAGCGGATAATTTTCTTCCACAAATTTCAGCAGCAACTCTCGAGGTCCAGAAATAAAATCATCAAGTTCAGAGCCCTGCTCAAGAAAAAGTATAAATAACTTTCAAATATGAAACTCAACTATGCAAACTGGAAGAATCACATGGAAATGCATGCACCACATCAAAGAATAAATGACATGCGCACATATTTTGATATAGCTTCCTCAGTTCGAGCCTCCCCAGTACTCTGTAGGCCAATAACAACACACTTTTCTTCTGTCAATGCTTGCTTAGCTATTCTTACAGCAGCAGGCACCTTAGCTGACATGCACATGTGTCTAAAGAAGCGCTGCCAGAAAATGAATGGATGAAAAAATGAATTAGATTAACTTGTCAAAACAAATAAAATAAGAATTTTACAAGAAAAAAAAAAAGGAGAGATCAATTAAAAACATTTAAACCACTAGGGAAGCCAAACCTGATGGCTTGACCAATATACTCTCCACAATTGACTAGAATTAGGTTTGTCATTAGTTAGAAAGGTACTTGCTGACAGCAACTCCACTCGCAACTCCGCCCAAAATTCTGCGGCTTTTTTGTACATGTCCTAAGCAATTCAGAATGCAATATGAGAAAACTCAAGAGATTATTTATCAAAAAAGGAAAAGAGAAAAATTAAGAGATTCGGGGAAACTACAGTTGAAATAAAAACAGGGAAAAACAACACTTTGTTGGGGATGTATAGACCCTGCAGATTCTGAATCCAGTTAGAAGGGATCAGTGGTAGAACTAAAACTCCTATAAAACAAAGGAATGGACGAACAACAGAAAGGAGCATTCAAACACACATCCACGATAAGGTAGAACTTCGAACCAGGATTTTTCACCTTTCCCCACTAGTGAGAAGTCAACCATGCTACATAAGGAAGTAATTTGCTAAAAACACCCACTTTTAGTAGACAGCTATTTCAAATCAATTGATATTAACAAACTGAAATATTTTCCTCAACACTACAGAAAGCTCATCTAAAAATTTGACAAAGCAGTTAAAGGACAGAAGCCCTGTTAATAATAGGAGTGTCATTCTACATTCTTAGTGCATAAAATGGGTGGATTCAACGCATTCTTAGCCACATGGAGTGTGGGGACTATCAGCTGGGTAATAAGAGCTAAGACCAGAATCAAGCGGAGAAATAGGTAAGTAGCATGGCAGTTTGACAGGGTTACAAATCAAAGGCTGTTCTGTCCAGAAAAGGGATCAAATGACCTAAACATAGTTACCTAAATATAACATCTCTTTACCTTCCACACTACTTGGTTTGCTGAGAGCATAAAATTGACCAAAAAAAACATATGTTAAAATGATATGCCGACGAAGTCCAAGCTATCAGCATATTTAAGAAAAACAAAATTATGAAATAGTAACAAGCATTGTCAAACTGCCCTGCTAGTTAAAACATCCAATGGAGCACATGAAAGTACAACAACCAACTAATTTGACTAGAGGCATCAGGCCAATTTCAAAATTCGTGGTGAGCAAACACCATAAGCTTCCTCGAAACAGTATATTTGGCATGGAAAGCAACTCTTGAGTGAAATACTAACTACTCACCAGCAGGGACTTGCATGTCCCAGCCATGGCAACTAGCAACTAGCAACTGAAAATGATTTTTGTAGGTGGAAGTAAACAAGCAGTTCAAATAGCAGGGAAACACCATATGCAGTGCTTTTATTTTGACCTGTTGTGGGGATTAGAAACCAGAACAGCTCTGTGGTGCAAAGGATGAAGACGGAAGAGAGAGAGAGAGAGAGAAAAGACCAATTATAGCGAAGTGAATAATTGGAAGTTTAGTTTGAAAACAAAGAGGTTAAAATCATAATCATGGCTCTTATAAATCTTTGGAAGGCAGTAACAATATCAACCATCAATTCCTATGCCTCGTACTGAAAAGCCAATTGATGCTTCTTACCATCATCTCAGGTTCTAAAGGTGCTTCAATAATTTCAAACTCTGCCCCTTTGTAGCTAAGGGTACGACATACATACATTCCCCTGAAAATCAGAAGAGGATGACAAATCATATAATAAATCTTAAAACGAAAAGTTGTTCACAAAAGCATTCCAACCATAACGACCTTGCTTTCATGTCCATGGCAACAAGTTCCAATGCTCCAACACCACCTTTTTCAAGAGCACCTGCAAAAATATTCTTTAGAAGACTGTGTTTCTAACTTTTAACATTGAACATGGTATTTAACTAGAGACAAAGAAGCAGCAAAAACAAGTTGTCCTTAGTGAAGATTTATGAAAGCTTAACGCACAAACACACAGAAGAGTTTCAGAACAACAAACAATGAGTATATGGTATTAAGCGATCCATCAGCAGCAGCCTACAGATTCTGAAATTTATGGTTTTGTCATCTAGTAATTTCAATAGTACATTTCTTGCGAACTAAATGTAGGAATCTGGATGTATTCTTATCATTTCCTCTTCTTCTAAGTTCTTAATGCTCATTAATATACATTGATTGAAGTATGTAATTTATTGGCAGGGCCTAGCATCTAAGATATAAAATCTTTCTTTGATGGTCCCCTCCAGAGTCCAGACAAAAATATCTCAAAACATAAACATATCAAGAACGATAAATATTTGTTTCTGTTTTCTCTTGTAATCTTATGGAAGAAGTTAGGCCTTTCTTCATTCTTTTACATTATATTCAGTGGTGTTCTAGAGATGTTACCACCAGGGGAAATATGATGATTGTTTAAGATATGCAGAACTCTTTCTCGGGAGCTTTTTGTCGCTTAAGTTCAATATGACATGTGTATATAGCATTTTGTTAGAGGTTAATTCAATACTACACAGATTGTAACTCTTGTACTTAATTCTCTATCTCCCTAGATTACTAATTATGAATGAGCAATTATAGCATTAGAAGGAACGAGTACTGCTGCTTATGCACAAAGCATACAACTACAAGAATCAGAATCAATTTGTTGCCAGAAACCCTCCCTGCTAAAATGCAATGCTCCAAACCTCAACTGGACATGTAGAGAAGCAAACAAGCATTTCAATTATACATCCTTTCCAATTGACAGTTAAACAGATAAATTTATGTCTGCATGCGCACGCATAAGAAAGGGAGAGAGGGGAGAAGGGAGGGAGAGTTCAGCAACTAACTCATGTCCTGCAAAGAGGATCTTGAAAAACATTTTCAAAACAGTAAACTGATGCAAATTCAATTATCCAATGAAAAAAGAAAATAATGTTACTGTTGATTTACAAATAATGTTCCTATAACAGTTAGCATGACAAAACTATACCTTTTGGTAGGAGATCAATTTAAACCTTTATCATTTCTGTACTCAACTACACTATTTTATTGATTCCAACTAAAACCATTTTTGTTTTAAAATCGATATTCTTCCAACTTAAATGTCATCTTACAAAAGCTGAAAAAAAGAATTAATGTGGCACAAACAATGTGCATACAGAATGATAGAGGAACATAAGAGAGAGGAGGCTAGCAATAAAATGCATGAACTTATCACACCTAGAAACTTCTGGAAAGCATCGAAACATGTTCCGTCTCCCCAAAGACCAAGTCTGACCATATAACCCATATTTCGTGGCTCAGATGCACCAGTCGCTGAGCAATAGATAACACGTGCTTCAGGAAGTCGGGCCTGTTACATTGCAACATGAATATTGAGAGTTAGGATCTCAGGGAAAACCAGGTTTAATCATCCCAAGCCACTTTGCAATAACAAATAGCATAGCTAAACCATTATCACTACTACAAAATTAAAAAGAAAGAAAGAAGAAGAAGAAGAAGAAGAAGCATTGAAGGAACTTGTGAATGTTTGTGTGATATGGCATAGCAAGTGTGACCATAGGTGTGTCCATGCACATCCATCAGCATGATTTTCCAAGCATGTCAACCTACTTGTGTGTGCATATGCACATGAGAGAGAATAGATGCATAGAAGAAAAAAATAGAAATGCATTGTGTGCAATCTGAAAAAAAAAAAATCATCAAAACAAAAAATGACCCACAGTTGCGTCGTAGCCATAAACTTCTCCTGTGTACATTCCTCCTTTTCACATATAAGAAAATTTAATAGCTCATATCACCTCATCTAGTTGCTATCACTAATTTAATGGAAGTGAAAACTGTAAGAAGAAGCCTCTAACACCATCAGAATCATGTCCACATGATTAGATTGCAGGGAAGTGATAATACCTAGTGTACAAATGTAAATGTGCATGTCTCAAACACCTAGTAAAAAGGAAGTGCAGAACAGGCAGGGAAAACATCTTCCTCTAGAAATCAGTTTGAAGGACAAACCTGAATATCAAGAACTGCTTCACCTGTCCGTGTGGGTTGACTTCCAGCTTCAGGTATCAAATTTTTTGCTTTGTGGCACTACAATAAAGTCATTGATCCTTAGCAATGAAAGGTATAAGGATGTATTGAAACACAGAGCACTCAATGAATCAGTCAAAAAACAAAACCTTTGCGAAGTCTGACCGTCAAAGCAACAAATATAACACAAACTTCTGAAAGAAGCACATTACCTCATCAAATATTAGAAGACCATCAAATCCTGATCCACACCACTGCACAAGCTGCTGCAGACGAGAACGGCCTTTTTCAGAAGATGCAATGAGGCTACTGTATGTCAAAAATACAACTCCCTCTCGGACCCCAACAGACTTCGAATCAAGCTTAGAATAGGGCAGCTTGTTCAAAGCATGTACTGCATGGAGAAATAAGAAGTAATATGTTGGTCTTCCCATTGTAACGGCAAATTTGAGAGTTACTTAGAATAGGTTGCAAGAAATATAACAGCAGATTGTATCTATGACTTAAAACTCTCAAATTTGCAACCCAAAGCCCAGTGTAAGTAAATGATATTTCGTCACAAAAGAGTTTATCAGCAGTCATCTAGTTTGGTTTTCAGTTTTAAGTAACTCTTGTCCTCTACTGCTTCTTTATCAACCTTCCTCTGCACCCCAACAAGCTCAACCATGCCAACCCAGATTGCCAAAATCAACAGAATCGAACTTTTTACTTCCAACAAAAGGTAGGCAATAACAAAAAAAGCAACCTCTCAGAATTTAAATCAGCCATATTGATGTAATATGATTCTACACAGCTTTAGCATACTTCATTGATATAATTCACTCAGAAGGGTCCTTGGAAGAGTCTGAAACTTTCTTGCAAGTCTTTTTCAAGCCATCTCTCCCAGAACTGAACTCCTTAGCTTTTCGTTTGTATCATATCAGGAAAGCTAAGTTGCTATCAAGTTAATGCTTTCATCTGAACTGTTGCTCTGAAAGGTGAACTAATGAATTGTTGCAGATTAGAAGATCTCCTAAGGCCTTATCCCCAAATATTTTTGTGATGGGTCACCAAGCCTCAGGAGTCATTTGATTTTACATTGTCCAGTGGCTTGGGAAATGTGACAAGTATTGATGGTTTGTGGTGGTGAGTCTTGGGGTATCCCCAACAGGGTGGATGGTTTTCTGCAGGTTTCAGAGGTACGTTTGTGGCATTTGCACTATGAGTGAAGTCTTTTGATGCATTTGGCCAGAGAGAATGCAAGAATTTTCAGGAATCACCTGACTTCCACTAATTTGTTATGGGATAGAGTAGCTTCCTTGCAACTTATGGGGTCATGCTTCTAGTGCCTACAGGGGTGTATCAATAATTAATACTCAACCACGATTTGGCTGCTTTAGTTTTGTAACCTTTTGCTTTGTTAGTTTGTTGACCCTTAACTTGGAGGTTGTCTTATCCTCCATCTTGTGATTGTACTTCTACTCTTTTCATCATTTACACAGTTTCTTTTACCTAAGACAAATTAATTCACTAAAAAGAGAACTTCCATATTCCATTTTTTGAACCTTATTAAAGTAGAATGTTAAAATCATTGCCTAGGTATTTCATGCTATGATAGTTTACAAAATATGCAGCAGTACATCTATTGCAACTCACTGGGGAAAATTGCGCAACAAAGTAAGGTTCATATTTATAATTTTGTCTCCTGTATATGATTTAGCTTTTCCAAGCATTTCAAACCAGAATTTCTGAAAATCAAATGATCTCATTGCAATTTAAAATGGTATAAACATCCAAGGCAATCAACACTAACACTGAAAATAGAACCATAGTCAACGTATTATGACAAAAAGAGGGAGGATTTTCATTATCAAAACTGGAAGAGAAGGCAATTACTCAAAAATCTTACTGTTACATAGATTCCCTACTAAGAGAAACTTCTCTATTCACTTTACTCTGCTTTTACAGATAGAATGAAACATTTGCATGCATGTAAATGCCATAGAATGAGATGATCACTACTCAGAATATCCCAACAAGGCAAGGCCTCAAGTGCTCAACAGCACAGATAAAAGCTAATGTGAATAATAACAACAGCAAAATAATAGTTATTATAAAAGAAAAACTAAACCCAAATATATTTACTTTATACTCACATCTGACGTGTATGCAATTAATCTAATGTGTATAAAAATATTGCAGAAAAATTCATTAACAGAAGATTTTTCTATCACCAAAGCAAGACATATCCTCTCAGGTCCCTAAACTCTCTTCTTCCAAATTTCTGTAACTCAATGCATTAAAGCCAACCCTTCCATACCCAATTTTCAACAAATCATTCTGATTTCAAATAGTATGATACTTAGACCATTAATTCCATCTGTCAAATAGCTAAACAGAATAGTATTATCGCATAATATCATCTCATAAGCTAGCAAAGACTTAAGAATTTACCTTCAATATGTGCTGCACCCACATCATCCAAGTCTCTTCTTGCATCGAACTTCAAGTCTGAACCAACAGAAATCCACCTGTGTAAGAATATTAGAGAAGAAGAAAAAATTATAAAACATGCGTTGAAATATAGCATCCTTCTTAGCTGCAAATGGAAATTAAAAACTTAACAATCTAGTAATAGCCACAAAAAGAAAAAAAAACGAACAGGGGATGAGGATAAAATGAAGATCTGCATGCTACAGAGTGATTGTAACCCAAAACTTACAATGCTTTCCTCCTCGCATGGCGCCAATTTTCCCATATCAAGCCCGCAATTGTTCTACCTTTACCCACACCAGCTCCGTCTCCAACAAAGAATCCAGCCCTGGCACCATTTGGAAGGTGTTGAAGGTGTCTCTGCCATCAAATAAACAGTACCTTATAAGCAGTGGCACTCATAATCATCAACCATAAGTTCTATTGTAGAAAACAACCTGACAAGCGTAGACTAATGTCTCAATCTGCAAGCAAGACAAAGCCTTTGTACTTTCTAAATCATCCTTGATTTTTAGATCATAAGTGGGCTCAGGCGGTTGCACTGCAGACAAGGAAGAAGTCTCCACAATAGGATCAGGATGAGGTGGTCCAATAGATAGTTTTGGAGGTCGCTGCATAAAGGACCGCATAAACATCAACTAAATTCTACTGCTTGATAACCAAAAACTATACACGAACAAAAAGTTCAAAAATGCTTGCAAAACTTGTAATGTGAAGCTTTTAGAAATAATACTCACATAATCTGTAAAAGTTTCTCCCACAGTGCCACCTTCATCTTCTTCTCTCTCCACTTCAATGGCTACCTGACAGGTTTTAGTGTCAAAAAGGACAAAACAAGGATGAACATCAACAAAGAAAATTAACATATTTTGAAATCACCAGCTTCCGCAAGACATCCCACAATGGGGTACTAGGCTATGCATCTGAGATCTTTTGAATTTTGATTGGCAGGATGATGGGGAGGAATAACATTTTTTTATTATTATTTTTAGATAAGAGAAGGGGAGCAAATTTATAAACCCCGAGCTTTTATTTGGTGAAGTGATGGCGAAGCTGGTTCAGCAGTGATGTCATTTTGAGTTCACCAAGCTATTCTGTCCTGGTGAATGATACTAGTTGTTAGAGACAGGAGTATTTCTGCAATTTTCCAAATTTGTCAGTAGAGTCAAGTTTATTTCTAAATTTGCTAGAAATTGTCATTAGCGATGTCTAGGTTCCTATTTTATATAGTGGTGCCTGATTTTCCTCAAGCAAATGGATTTTGTTCAAGTTTTCAAGTCAATAAACATGTTTGTGATCTTTGAATTCCTTTAGAAAGTTCTGTGAATAACTTCACAACTTTTCTACATGCTCACAAAGTGTCGTGCTTTCTTCCAAGGAATGATCTTAACTGAGGGTAGTCTTTTTTTCCTTTTCTTCATAAACTTAGAAATCAAAATTTCAATCAATCCCTCAGAATCTCAAATAAAAATCATCTGCGAACCTTCTAAAAGCAATGACGTATTATACTCCATTCTAAAGGATTCTAGAAAACAAAATGAAAAACCACTACCACTTCTTACGAATTCCCAGTCTCATTGTGAACCAAAAAACTAATAAGGAAGATCGCGAAATGAGAACTCCCAATGTTGAAATTTTGAAGTAGAGAACGAAAACAAGCCACTAGGTCCCCCAACTGTTTTAAGAATTCTAAACGGCAGTGCTCTCCACCCTCTAGTACATTACCAGCTACAATGCAGATACTAAACAATTAAGCTCTTTTCTGTTAGTAATCATGAGTGCTGCCCTTATTCACCACGGCTACTACTGCTTAAACACAGCACTCGGCAGAAACCCTAATTTTTAAAAATTCAAATAAATTTTACTCCATTTAAATAAGAACACGAAAAACAGAAGATAGCAGAGAACAATTGATGCAAAACCTCGTTGACTTCTTCGGGGGGAAGAGGAAGAACTGGTCGCGGCAGAGGAGGAAGAGGAAGCACCGCTCGCGACGGCGGAGGAATAGCAGAAGGAGGAGTAAAGAGCTGTTTAATCTTCGACAAATCAACAGCGAGATCGATAAAACACTGAGGGCACTGAAACCGAGCCAGACCATGAGGAACATTCAAAATAGCCTTACAATTAGCACAAGGCAGTTGCATCTTAGTGGGATCGACACCGTGAGCCGGCGCTTGAAGTTGCGATGGCGACGTCATTTTATGCAACATATTGTTATCGTTATGCGGCGGTGGAGACGGAGCCACCGCCTTTTTCATGAGCTCAGGCGGCAGCATTTGCGGCATCTTACATGAAGGACAGACGAATTCCGTGATTCCTGGTCCGACGGTTAAGATCATACGACATCCAGCACAGCGGACCTGGACGCTGCCTCCAGCCAAGTGAGGTTGTGGTGGTGGTTGTGAGGCCAGCGGCGGTGGCGCCGATGGCTGAGTCATAATATAGTAATTTATGTTCTGATTGAGGGAGTACTGGGGGTGTGGGATGCTGTAGAGAAGTAGAAGTGATGGCGATTGGGGCGCGAAGGGGTTTCTGTTGGGAGTTAGAAGTGTTCTTTTTTTTTTTTTAATCTCTGTTTTCTTTTTATTATTATTATTCCAGGAAATGAGATTTTGCTGTGAGAGTCGCTTATCGGTCATGCGCATTGAGTGAATTGGTAGTGGACCGTGATGTAGAAAAGCATTTTTCTTCTTATTGGAATTAAACCTGGGCCGGGTTGCTTTGTTTGTCAGGTAAAATAATATTCGGAGCCAAAAAGTCATAAATTGAACATCATTTTCCTTTTGAGAAAATAAATTGATTTTGTTATTAGTTATAATAGCAAGTGCTCACGCGCTGCCAACAGTCTTCTAGTGAAATTCGTCTTAATATTTATGGAAACTTGCGGTTGACACTGCTGCCTTCTTTGTTTTCTCGACATAAAATACTTAAAATTATTCTTGCCCACACATCTTCAGGTTGCAGACATCTTCATAAAAAGTTTACATCCAGGTCTTTTCAAGTCGCTTATAAATAAGATGAACATCATTAACATTTTTTATATTCATCTTAAAGGGGGTATAAAGAGAAAAATTAGAACATAGATTAAAAATGGTATGAAGCTAGTGAAGTTAGATAACTTTTAATTCTTTTCTGTTAGTTAATTACGTAGTTAATTCTTGTTTTTACTCTCTACTAATTGCTACAGTACATGTAGCACTTGTAAATCATTCTTGTTAATTTTACGGAGAAAGTAAAAGAATTCAATTTCTATTTTCCCTCTCAAAGTCAAACGCAAATTCTCCTCTTTCTTCTCTGTCAAATTCACTTCACATTTCATTTTCCAACAAAACCTAAACCGTAGAAACCATTAACTACACCGAAACCCAGATTAAAAATGCATGACCACAGCGATTATGGCACGGATTTCTTTCAATACGAGGGGATTTTTTACGTTTTTGTTAAGTCGTGAGATTCATAAAAGCACCAAAGGAAAAACTCATGGAAAACTGAGTAACGAGGAATAACAAAGGCTACTCGTAGCAAAATGGAGCCAAAATAGAAGGCAAGAAACATGCAAAACAAAAAAGAGAGGGGCATCTAGACCAAGGCTTCTCACCATAGCAAGATATGAAATGAGTAAATTTAAAAAGCCATCAACACAAGGGGATTTTTTGTTATCATGACAACGAAGCGAAATTGTTTTTGAAATCTTGTAATTGAAATTTTTTGATCGAGTTAAAATTATTAATTTGGAGACAAGAGCTTGAGAATTTTTTTGAGCAATGGTGTGGAACACGGAAGGGGTATTTGATTGAACAAAGCTTGCTTCAGTGGCCGGTGCATGTTGTGAACAAAGGGGAGAGAAGAAATAAAACAACAACCTAGCTTTTGAGATTATTTAAGGATCATTTGGGCATGTCAATTAAAAGTCAGGGAAGGGTGTGCCGACAGCCTCTCCAGCTCTCCTAATATTTATTGGTTTAATGGTGGTTTTTATCCTAAACCATTGAGTTTATGACACATTAAAACTTATACTAGTTTATTTTGTTTTTGAATTATATTTTGCGCAAATATTACTCATTCGTGTGATTTGATCTTTATAATTGATCGAAACCTTTCTAAAAAATAATTTACTATACAGTATTTTGAGTTCAAATTTTCATAAATGCTAAGGAAAATTCAACCTACTTTCAAAAATATATATATATATATATTTTTGGTATTGGATATTATTGTTTTATTTTACGAACAATAAAAATTCAATAATTATAGAACCAAAAAAAAGTTAGAATTATCTCTCTTTTTTAAAACCTCTAATGATGTCATATGAATTTATATATATAATTTTAGTGTGGTTCTCAGAATATTTACATAAGTGATTCTTAAAATTAATTTATTTTAAGCTTTGATTAGATGTTACATGGTTGACCATGTAAATATTTAAACAAATCATGCTAAAACTAAGCAGATAAATGCATATGATTGTTTCAAGACCTCCAAAAAAAAATTAAAATCATTTCAAACTATTTTCAATTTTTAACAATGTTACAAATATTTAGTGTTTAGAAAATTAAAAAAAAAATACTTAATTATATAATTTAAAAAAAAAATTATTTTCAAAGTAGATTGAATATTTATTAGTATACGTGAAAATTTTAACTCAAAATACCAAAAAAAAAAAATTAAAGGGTTTTTGGTCAATTATATTGTCAAGTTAAACATATAGATAATATTTGCTTAAAACATGATAGTTCAATTATCAAATTGACTAAATCAATAGTACAGATTTCAATGTACCACAACTTTAATAACCCAAAAATAAAAATTACCATTAAACCAATATTTATTACAGTCTTATTGATGTTATTACATTCTTATTGAGTGTAGGGAATCAACGTATTAATGTATTTGGCTAAATTAGACTCAAACATGGGAGAGCCAGGTCTTTTTTGGATTTTGATGCTGCTTGCATTGAGTTCGTTACGCTCTAGTTTTTCTTTTCTTTTATTACAAAAATAAGTAGATATAGTGAATGTTAAATTGATAAATTATTTACAACGGAATGAACCATGTTAGTACTGTTTTTCTTCGAATTGTCCCGTGTTTTCCGAAAGAATAAAAGAATTTTTTAACTGCATGCCTTAATTTTATTAGACATTACTGCTTTGTAAACTCATGATTTCAAGATAATTGATGATGACATGTTTATATTCATGATCAATAAAAAAATAAACAATTAAATTGTCGTAGATGATGACATGTTTTCGATAATCTCATGTAATTTACGAGTAGCTATACCCAATTCTAAGAACCAAAGAAACTCTGCCTTTTCATATTTTTTTCACATCCTCTGTCATATGTTTCTTCGAATAAAATCTTTTTCTCCTAATTTTTCTATCATTGACCAGTTAGGTCGGGTCCGTTTTCATCAATTAGGTATTAATTGGGTAGTCATCTCAATATTTTTTATTTATTTATTTTCTAAAAAGAATAGAATGCATCCTTTTGAATTTCATATATTAAGTCTCAAAAATCAAGTAGATACGCGCTTGTTGTTTGTTTAAGTGACTTACGCTATAAACTGAAAAACAAACTACATCAGATGTTTAAAATACGAGCACAACCTAAAACTTGATGAAACTATGCAAAGTGATACTACTTAGTACTTACTAAGTTTACATACTCTTTGTTAATAATCAATATTTTCTTTTTACACCGTATAATTTGTATTCATAAAACAAACTTTAATCATAAAGAGAGAGCCGAATTCTTAGATTGTACTTAAATTATTTTACAGAGGGTGTAATAATTGGGCACATTCTTACAAAAGTTTAAAATAAACTTTCGTCATCAAATAGAAGTCAGATTGTTTACAGGATTCGTAATAATAATATATTAAAAATATATGAAGTAGTTCAGATATTGAGATGCTTGTATCTTCCTTTCTCGTATGCATTCCTAGTCATTCAACTTCAACAAGTGAGATAACGCCGTACAGCAACAGGTGACTGAAATCGCCTATTCCTTTGAAAAAAAGCGACCTCTATGCGAAATAACTTGTAGAACAACGAGAATCTGAGGTGAGAAGACTAAAAAAACTCCTTGTCTTCTATCTGGACATAAGCTTTCCTGTAATCTGGCTCCAGTTATTTTTCAGTTCGAACTAGTGAATTGTTCGCGCTATAGGTTGCACATAAAAGGTGAAATTATTCAAAAAACTATTATAATATAATAGTTTTCGTTATATTATGGATCCAACAAAATATATCTAAATTAAAAACAAACATTTTTTTCACCTATGTTTATGATATTTTAATTAAAATTTTATATTTAATTAATTATTTTTATGTTTCTGTAATATCTTTCCTTCTAAAAAAAAAATAAGATGTGTTTTTCTATAAGCATGAATGCTCAAATAAAAATTTATAATAATCTAAAAAGTAAGTTTCAATTAATCACAAATAAAAAAACATATATAAATTTTATATTTTTTCCACAAGATTGCATCAAGAAATAAAACAACAATTAATGTAAAAAATATTGCATAAAATATTTAAACTTTATGTTATGTTTTGTGTTGATTGGCTTGTTTGGTGCTTGTTTGGTGTTTGTTTTGTTTGTTGCTGCAACTTTTACTGCAATGTTGATTTATTTTTAATTATTTTAATTTATTGTTTTTGTGAATGAACATAGCTTCAAGTGACATGGAAAAATCTAAACAAATCAAGCTATTGACGTCAATCGATAAGGTAGAAAGAAAATCCTTAGAATTGATCTTAATGGATTAATTTATAGCAAAATCGTTGATTGAGTGAAAAATATTACTGGAAGAGAAGATGGATCTTTAATGAAGAGTTTTTCTATAATTTTTTGACTTGATATTTTATGAATATTGATGGGTGGATTTTTCTTTCTTCCTGGAATACAATTGAATGAATGCTGTATTTTTTGCTTTTCTTTCTTCCTCCTTCTAAAGAATGATCAGAGATCGGTGTTTCTTCAACAACATCTATTAGGCTAGTACTTAATTTTAATTATTTTTCTTCTTCTTTCTCTTTCTATATATGACTTTCTAATTTTAGTAGTCGCAAACATACTTTTATATCTAATTTTATCCAATGTGTAATTTAGAATTTTTAGCATTTAATACAAGATTTTCTAAGACCGTAAGACTTTTATAAAACACCTGATTTGGTGCTAGAAGAGTGTGTGTTTGTTTGTTTTCTTTTAAATGCCTTTTGGTATTAGAGTTTCTTTCATTTGGACTATTAAGGATATTTGTCAACACAGTTGAGAATTATGTATGGAATCAGTTTTTACAGCAAAAAACATATGATTCTCTTTCCTTCCCTCTTTTATTATTTTTTAATCCTTTTCTTTTGTGGCATTCTTTCTGCCATTAATGAGTAGTAATTAAGCCCGTATTTTTAGAATATTAATTTTATTCTATTTATTTATATGGACAATAATAAGTCAATATCCACTAACTTAACTAACTCTCAAATGCTTACAGTTGGCAGCAAAATTGGGGAGTGTATTCTTCTCCTTCATGGATTATTTTTTGTATAAAGAAAATCAAGCACTTTGAATTTTATTGCTTGAAATATGTGAATAAATATACATTGATTGGAATATGAAAAATATAAGTTTGCATCCTGTTTTATTTGTTATATCTCTGATTATATTATTTTGATGTAGTATATTATTTGATAAGCACATTACTTCTCTGCGATATGTCTGGTCTTGTTGCTATTTGATGTGTATATCAATTTTTTTTTTTTGCTTTTTTATTTCTCCAGGCTTTGCTGCATATAAGGATCATTAACTTCATTATACATTTGCACCATTAGCTTCTTCTATTTGGTGAATGGCCGAAAATTTGATGTTTGAATTTTATTTTTTTTTTGTTAAAAAATTTCTTTTCACTCCTCATGTTCAGTTGGTAGAGTCAATGTATTTTTTACTATGATGATTTTTTTTTTGTTGGGTTTATTTGTTTTGCAACTATTTGAACAGTTATCCATCACGCAATTCTCAACACATGGACTACTTTGGTCGTGGTTCTGTTATGTTGCATTGCTATAGTACTTATCGTCCATGCTTACTTTTTTTTTTTTTTTTTTTTTTTATGTTAACTGAAGTGCTTGTATGTTTACAACTTAATGTAGACAATAATCGCAGCCCTTGAATTGATTAAAGTTGGTGACTATAGTAGTATTGCAAAATGAGATGGAGTATTAGATGACAAACTTATTGGATTATGTATGTAATTCCTATCAATATTCTTTAATCCTTCACTCCTCTTATGTCAATTTTTTACATCAATTGGCAGCCATCAACGTGCATTGCTGTGTTTATATATTTCTTCTTATCATATATTTAATTTTAGAAAGAAAAGAGCTGGCTCGCACTTTGCAATCTCCATCTGAAGTGGTTTTAAGATTATCAACGACTGATTTAGCATTAAAATAATATATACATTTAAGATGCATAATTTTTTTTAATAGCAAGGGTTAAACTCATTCAATAAATGATTTTAATTTTAAACATTTTAGCTTTTTAAAGTAATTCTTTATTTGATTTTTTTCCTCATCCTTTGAAAACTAAGGTTTAGATAATCAAAACAATTTATTTGAACGACATGCATGCAAAAGAAGCTGAAAAATAGATGAAAAGGATTAAAAAAAGAGGTGGGTTCCTTTTTTTTTCTTTTTTTCTAGAGTTGCTATCTTTATATTAATGGTGGTTAATGTTTTTAATTTTTTCATGATAAATGTATAGGTATCATGTTAATATTTGTTTTGTTAAATTTATTGTTGCCAAATGAATCTTGATTAATATTTTATTTAGATTTTTTCGATTATGGATGGAGCCTTATTAGATTCTTCATTTTTAATTCATATTGGTTGATGTTGATCATGTATCAAGAGATTGTATAAAAATTGATGAAAGAGTCAAGGACTTTAATTTGGGAAGCACAAACCAACAAAAGGAGGTTAAGTTAAAGCAACAAAAAGTTGCGTTTAAATGAAGAAACTCAAAATGGTTGAGGCATGACACAATTGAAAGAACAATGTTTCTCCAAATAATAATGATCTTTTTATTTCCAAGACAATTGTTGTTTGGGTGTGTTTTTTAATCAATCATTAAAATTAATATTTGTAATTTTTTATATTATTTATTAAATATTTTCTCTATTTTTTTCCCCCGAACATGCAAATTTCTCTTTGTTATTTGACAAACATCTATAGGTGAAACCTTATAATTTACTCATCAATGTATGAGATAAAATATTTTCCCTTTAATCGATGCATTAAAACATAACTTACATCGAAAAATAAAAAAATTCATAAACACCGTAACTTCCATTAATATTGCACAAGATGCCAACTAATTGTACTAGAATAATAATATTGTATTGATTTATTGCATCAACTAGCTGCCGATAGTAAAATAATAAATAATACTATAAAAAAAAATTAGTTATAAATAATTGGATTCAATATGTCAACTAACTCATACCTGTTTTTGTCCAATAAAACAGTTCATTTGAAAATTTCTCATTCACTCGAACTAGATTAATTAGACAAAATCAATTGTTGATTAAATCCTTAGTTTTATCCGACTAGCGTAGCTAGTGTAATGAGTCGAATATCGCCATAGGTAGATGGTTTTGTTCAATACGTTTTAAGTTCAAAATGTAGAAAGAATAAAATAAAAAGTTAGGGAGTCAAGTGCTTGGTGACATAAAGGATGATTTATTTATATCGCAAAACTAGGTAACATGAATATAACCTAAATTGAGAAAATAAAATGATTGAAAGGATATCTTACTTAGTCGATTAATTCAATTAATTGCGTTTATCTACTTTTAGTTTGATGAATCAATTCCTTGTCCGAACCTCTTTTGATCTAACAACAAGAATAATCTACGGATAACATATGCCTTATTGATTTTGTTTGACCTAAACATTTAAATCAATATCAAATTTTAAAAACATTAAATATACATTAAGACGAACAATTTTTGAATAGCTTTTGTCACAAAAACCATATAAAAAAATTACACCAAATTCACTTTTTTTTCTTTTTTTTAACTAATAATCGCCCATTTTTTTTTAAAGGAAAAAAAACCAAACATTTTCTAGTTTTTTTTTTTTTTTTTAGCTAGCCATCTTTGCAAACAACCTTTATCAAGTTATTTACGGAGCTCATATTGGGTATTGTTTTTGTTATGGAAAAATAATCATACGCCGCTAATGATTTTTTTATGGTTATTGGATTACTCATTTTTTGTACTATTTACGATGATCGTTGTCGCTACACGACGTCGGACGGGACCACCCGAAGAAATTAAAAGTTTGAGCATTAATTATTTATAAAATTATTTACGAGTTTTAGAGTCGTCACATAGTATTTAAGGAACTAGGAACTTAAAAGTAGCATTGATTCGGAGATTCTAAGGTAAAGAGTTGGTTACGCTTTTAGGAAGATATTTAATCACCTAAAAGTGCCCTTTTCGAAAAAAGGTACCATGCATGGTTTAGTTCTAGATTCATCTCTTAGAAATCCATGTCAAGCTATTTTCTAATTTTTAAATTTCTATTTTTTAGACTAAATGAATTTTTTAGTTTTGGGTGTGGCATCATATTGAAACGATCGTCGGTCTCCTTCGTCGAGTGACACGTCGATTCAAACATCGGATCCATTAAAATCCTTGACACAACCGACGTGTTGGTGGACGTCTTAATTAAAAGGTGATTTTTTGTGACGTCGGTCCCTATCAAGTAGGAGACTTCGTCGAAAATCTTGAATATTCTTTTGGTGACGTCGGTCTCTATTAGATTAGAGACTTCGTCAATTTATTTATTTATTATTATGTTATTTTTTTGTGGCGTCGGTCCCTACCAAGTAGAAGGCTTCGCCAAAATTTTTAGGCATTTTTTTTATGACGTCGGTCCCTATCAAATAAGACAATTCATCAAGATTTTTTTTATTTTTCTAGCAACACATATTAAAGAAAAGAAAAGAAAATTGAAATAACAATTCTAAATTAATATAAAAAAACGACAAGGAATAAAAACAAACAGAGTTAAAAAAATAATAATAAATAAATGAATAATAAAAGAAAAAGATAAAAAAAAAATCATTCTATACCTAAACCATTCACTCACAACTTTTTTTTTACCCATCCCCTTTTTCCTTTTTCCTTCTTATTTTTTTCTTCCTTTTACTTATTTTTTTCTTCTCTAATTCTATTTTTTATTTCTTTATTACTTTTTTTTTTTTAGGGTTTTTGAAAGATGGGCTACGAGCTGGACCTTTTTTTTGGGATAAAGGGTGCGGGTCAAGTCGAAATCAATCCAGCCCCTTATCTTTTTTTATGCATCGAGTCGGCTCGGGTTGAAATCGATCCGACTCGCACGTCTCTTTTTTTCTTTTTTTCTCAATGGGCTTTAACCCGAAAACGAGGCCACATGAACAATCTTGACAAAAACGGATCAAACACCCTAAAAACTCTCCCTCTCTTCTCGTTCTTCTCAACCTTCTTATTCTCTCTCTATTTTTCCTAGATTTTCCGAAAATTAAAGCCCCATTTCAAACAAATGATTGCTAACATATGTTATTACACTCTTGTTTCGATCACAAACCTAGAATTAAAACTTAAACAAGTACCTAACCAAACATTTGGAAATTACAAATCATTGAATCGAAAACAAGAAAAAAAAAACAAGAACAAACCTTAGATTTGTGATTGATATTACGAAATGATGCAATTGAAACTCAAAAAAAGGATGTCCGTTGCTTTTGATATGCCCAAACGAGATTCAAAATAAAGGATCGGATCCAGCGAGTTGAAGCCGAATGAAACTCCACCTAGAAGATTGAAGAACACGAACCCGGACGTATGAAGAAGTTCAAGTGACTACCCGAATTTCAAAAGAGAAACCCAAAATTATGAAGAATGGGGTCCCTAATTCAGGAAATTGGATTGAGAAACACTCAAAGAGAGAAAATCAACTTCGAAAAGAACACCAAAAAGGATTAAAGGAGGCCGATCGATGATGAGCTAAACCCGGAAATTCAAGAACGCTAAGAACATGAAGAACGCAAACCCAGGAACCTAGAAAAACGCAGATGATTGGAAATAAAAAATCAAGTCGTTTGCTCTTAATTTTCTATCCTTCTCAACCTAGAATTCTTCGCCAATTTCTTCCCCTTTTTCTCGTGAAATTCAAAACGTTTTATACCAAAATTTTTTCTAAAATTTCTCTTATAATCGAATCTCAAATCCCGAATTTTTTTATCAAAATTTTTCCTCTTCAATTCATAATTAATGTGAAATCAAAACATGAAATTTGGTCATTGCTTCTCGTTAGTGTCAATTTTGGCAACGAATCCACGATTAATGCATAATCAAAAACAAGAAATTCGTGGAGGATTTGGGTAGATTCTCCCAAAGATTTTTAGAGAGAATTTGCATTAGAGCGAACGACAAGTCGTCTTCTCCATTTCGATCCCGTAGTTCGATCCAAACTTTCGGTTTGATCATCGCGTTTCAATTTTAGCAATTACGCCCTCTCGCGGAATAATTTCAGTCTTTATGAGGTGCAATCTTATCAATTGGATCCCTATAAAAAGTAATTTAGGTTCTAAATTTTTCAATTGGTTCAATTATACCCCTAATTACGTCAATTATGTCCCTAAATGAAAATTTTTGTATTTTCCTTTCTTTCTTTTCTTCTTCTTCTTCTTTTTTTTTAATAGTAAACTTCAAATTAAATAAAAAACAAAAATAAAAAAATAAAATAAAAATAAAAATAATAAAATAATAAAAATAAAAATAAAAAACAAAAAAAGAGTAAATTTTGGATTATTAGAATCGTTGAACTATATTTAAATTGAAGTTCAATTTATTTATTTTTATTTGAAGTTTTACTTTCATGTCTTTAAATTTGGATTTAAATGATAATTGGATCATAGAGTGGAAGAGAGAGATATTTCATCAACCTATCATGGCTTCCCTAACGGAAATACGTGAAGAGTTCCAATTGTAATAGCAGGTAGACGGACATAATTCACCAAATTGAAAGCGAGAGAAACTCGATTAATCCAATCCACTAAGCCAATCGCAGAACTACACAATGTAATTAACTCCCGCAATCAACCACAACCTTTTGACTTTCATTGGTTTTTTTTTTTTTTTTCTAACCCAATTTCATGGTTTTTTCATGGGTGTTGCTCGTATAACAAGTTTTGTGACCTACGGCTAGCCCTTCCCGTAGCATTGAGCAAAATACTCGTTGATAGGAGTGATTATTAGGTTTTTCGGTTTTGTTTCGATTTTTTTTTTAATTTTTTATTACTTGAATTGATAAAAATAAAAATTAAAATCGAATCAAATCAAATTGATGTTCGATTTTCGATTAAAAAATCAAAATTTTCAATTCGATTTTTTAATTTTAATTGAATAGTGCTCCTCTCTACCCGTCGAGTCTCGAGTATCCCCGTTGGAAAAAACTTGTACCACGTGCAATGGCGGACCCGAACTCGTATAACGTTTTGTTTTGTGTTTTCAATTTTTTCTTCATTGACTTTTGACATGTATCATCCTATGTATGTACTAGTGGGATGGAGGCGGCATTAAGCAATATCCAAGTGTCTCCCACTCGGCACTCACTCGGTATTGCTAGAAAGTGTCGTTTATACCGGAGAAATTGATCACCGTTGTTTGGCTTTTCCTTTCCCTTTCAATTGGTTATTAAAAGTATCTCGTGCCTTTCATATCTTCCACGCAATCCTTCTTCTTTAGAATGCTTTGCTTCTTTAAGCATCCGCTCAATACACGTCATAAGCAACTTAATTGATCTCCTTCAATTTCTTTTCTTTCAGTATATGCGGACGAGCATCAATTCTTCCCCAAAAAACAACCCACTCTGTTGCTTCCTCGATCTTTCCCGTAATTAAACTAACACTTTCTTTTGCTCTGTATTTTCTTTCATCTTGCCACTTTCTTGAATGAAGAAAATGATACGGGTAAGGTATTTCATATGTCAAGTTTAGGAGGAGAAGTTATAGCCGTGGTGGGAGCAACGAGAGATAGTAACCCAATTACAAGCGGAATATCTTCGTTTTCGTCTTCATCCTCGTATCCGTATCATCCAAGATCAATGTCCAGGGAGCCATCATCGTTGTTGAGTAATACTGCTATCGCCTTATTAGACTCTTCATTTTTAATTCATACTTGGTTGATGTTGATCATGTATCAAGAGATTGTATAAAAATTGATGAAAGAGTCAAAGACTTTTGGGAAGCACGGACCAACAAAAAGAGGTTAAGTTAAAGCAACAAAAAGTCGCATTTAAAGGAAGAAACTCAAAATGGTTAAGATGTGTGACACAATTGAAAGAACAATGTTTCTCCAATTAATACTGATCTTCTTATTTCCAAAACAATTGTTGTTTGGGTGTTTCTTTTTATCAACCATTAAAATTAATATTTGTAATTTTTTACATTTTTATTAAATATTTTCTCTATCTTTTTCCCTAAACTTTCAACTTTCTCTTTGTTATTTGACAAACATCCATCGGTGAAAACTTGTAATTTACTCATCGATGCATGACATAAAAATATTTTTCCTTTAATCGATGCATTAAGACATAACGTACGTCAAAAAATAAAAAATTTCATAAACACTCGTAACTTCCATTAATATTCTACGTCATTGGATACAACATTTCAATGCTTTCTTAATAATTTTTATTGGACTCAACTCGCCTCTAATAAATAATATTCTATATCCGATAGCACAAAATGCCAACTAATCGTATTGAAATAATAATATTGTATTGGTTTATTGCATCAACTAGTCGTTAGTAAAACAATAAATAATACTATTAAAAAAAAAACTAGTTATAAATAATTGGATTCAATATGTCAACTAACTCATACCCGTTTTTGTCCAATAAAACAGTTCATTTGAAATTTTCTCATTCGATTGAACTAGATTAATCGGACAAAATCAATTGTTGATGGAATCCTTAGTTTTATCCGACTAGCCTAGCTAGTGCAATGAGTCTAATACCGTCATAGGTAGATGGTTTTGTTCAATACATTTTTAAGTTTAAAATGTAGAAAGAATAAAATAAAAATCTAGGGAGTCAAGTGTTGGTGACATAAAGGATGATTCATTTATATCACAAAACTAGGTAACATGAATATGATCCGGATTGAGAAAACAAAATGAGTGAAAAGTTATCGTACTTGGTCGATTGATTCAATTAATTATGTTTATCTACTTTTAGTTTGACGAATCAATTCCTTGTCAACAATAATAATCTACGGATAACATATGCCCAATTGATTTTGTTTGACCTAAACATTTAAATCAATATCAAATTCAAAAAACAAAAAAATAAAAAATGAAATATACATTAAGTCGAACAATCTTTGAATAGCTTTTTTCATAAAAACCATATAAAAAAAATTACACCAAATTCACTTTTTTTTAACTAAGAACAACCCCCCTCCTTTTTTTTTAAGGAAAAAAAAAAAAACCCAAACATTTCAAGTTTGTCCTTACTAGCCATCTTTGCAAGCCACCTCTACCAAGTTATTTTTGGAGCTCATATTCGGTATTGTTTTTGTTATGGAAAAATAATTACACACCACTAACTATTTTTATTTTATTTTATGACTATTGGATTACTCATTTTTTAAACTATTTATGATGATCGTTGAGCTATATTTAAATTGAAGTTTAATTTATTTATTTTTATTTGAATTTTTACTTTCATGTCATTAAATTTTGGATTTAGATGATAATTGGATCATAGAGTGGAAGAGAGAGATATTTCATCAACCTATCATGGCTTCTCTAACGGAAATAGGTGAAGAGTTCCAATTGTAATAGAAGGTAGACTGACATAATTTATCAAATTAAAAGCAGAGAAACTCAATTAATCCAATCCACTAAGCCAAGCAAAGAACTACACAATGTAATTAACTCCTGCAATCAACCACAGCCTTTTGACTTTCATTGTTTTTTTTTTCTTCTAACCCAATTTCATGGTTTTTTCATGGGTGTTGCTCGTATAACAAGTTTTGTGACCTACAGCTAGCCCTTCCCGTAGCATCGAGCAAAATACCTGTCGAGTCTCGAGTATCCCTGTTGGAACAAATTGCACCACGTGCGATATTGGACCGAACTCTGTATAACGTTTTGTTTCGTGTTTTCAATTTTTTCTTCGTTGACTTTTGACATGTACCATCCTATATATGTGCCCCGTGGGATGGAGGTTGCACTAAGCTCCAAGTGTCTCCCACTCAGCACTCACTCAGTATTGCTAGAAAGTGTCGTTTATACCAGAGAAATTGATCACAGTTGTTTGGCTTTCCCTTTCCCTTTCAGCTGGTTATTAAAAGCATCTCGTGCCTTTCATATCCTCCACGCAATCCTTCTTCTTTAGAATGCTTTGTTTCTTCAAGCATCTGCCCAATACACGTCATAAGCAACTTAATTGATCTCCTTCAATTTCTTTTCTTTCAGTATATGCGGACAGCATCAATTCTTCCCCAAAAAACAACCCACTCTGTTGCTTCCTCGATCTTTCCTGTAATTAAACTAACACTTTCTTTTGCTCTATATTTTCTTTCATCTTGCCACTTTCTTGAATGAAGAAAATGATATGGGTGGGGTATTTTCATATGTCAAGTTTAGGAGGAGAAGTTATAGCCGTGGTGGGAGCAGCAGAGATAGTAACGTAATTAAAAGCAGAATATCTTCGTTTTCTTCTTCATCCTCGTATCCGTATCATCCAAGATCAATGTCCAGGGAGCCATCATCGTCGCTGAGTAATACTGGTAGTGCCACTGCCACTGGTTGTGATACTAGTCGACAAGCAAAGGGTTCCAAATTGGAGAAGAAGCAATCCATCAAGCAGAAATATGGTTTCATCCCTGATAATTTTTCTTCCTTAGAACAGGTATGTATGAATCCTCTTTTAATTATAATTTCTTTCAATTTGTTGGAACCTTGGAGCAATTTTTTCACCTATTAAAATGGATAATTGTCCACTTCATATGAGCAAACTATGAAAGATGTTTCGTTTTTTTTAATAAGGGAAGGGATATTATCATGTTAACTTCTCACTGATGACTGGTGGAAAATTTGTTTGGTTAGCCGTTGCGATCTTAGTCAATTTGTTTCATCTGACTTGTCCTGTCCATCATGGAATCTTTAGGGAATATTCTTGTCAATTTGCAGACCCAAATGTTTCGTTTACATTTCAAAAACTTTACGGCACATGCTTGCTAAAAAAAATATTACAACTCTTCCATAAAAATAAATAAATAAATGTAAAGTTTGATATCCACCAAGAAAGTAACGTAAGGTGCTTTTATTTTCCGATAGATAAAGCCGCCAGCGTGTCACTATTGGTGTGGTCCCGATCCTAACTTAAAAAATAAAAAATAAAAAATCGAAGACTGTATATGTTATTTGACATTGTTTTTGTAAATTGTAGTCGTACTTTTTTTTTCTCCAAATTAATAACATTAACAAAATTTGAACAGATTGAACAGAAAAATTATTTTAAGTTTTAACTGACAGGTGAGAATTGAATTGCTCTTTTTAACGAATCGAAAAAATACCCAAATTATTTTTTTTTTTGAATTTTTTTCCATCATCTGCCTCTTGTTTTTCGCCCAGGGAAGGGGCCAGATAGTCCAAGAACAACACAGTCACTACACACTCACTAAGCATGTTGCTTTTAGTCTCAATTCACTTTTTTTTTTTTTTTTCTCCCAACACAGAACACGAGTAAATTATACACCAATCCCTCTTATTTCGAAAAATAAATTAATTAATCTCTTTAGTTTTAAAAACTAATTATTTTATTTTATTTTTTATTTTATTTATTTTTTAAGAAATAAAAGATAAATAAAAATATGAAAATACTCATAAAAAATAAAAAATATTAAATTAATTATAATCGTTACTAGTTAAAAAAATTAAATAATTAATTTTAAAAATTTTAAAAATTAATTAATTTTTCAAAACAATAGGGAATAATTTATAATTTACGCCACAAAACACAGCTCACGTTTTTTTTTTTGTCAGAAGAAGAAATGAAAAAAAAAAGAAAACCACAACACTCGATTGTTGAAAAAACTCCAAAATATCTTTTAAATAAAAAAAATATAATAAAACAATCGATGTAAGTATGTAACTACCCATTAAAAAATACTCATGCATCTGACCCCCAAAAATAACTAAATAAGTAAATAAAATCTCTCACATATCCATTAAACAATTTCTAGTTTACATGTGTCCGAATTAGCTTTAGCGGATCAGAAATAACATTTTATTTTATTATTTGAGAATTCTTTAAAATTTCAAGTTTATACTGTAAAATTCTTTTTTTATCAAACAAGTGGAGTATTATTTTTATGCAGCTATCTTATAATTATTATTTTTTAAGGTTTTATTGTCTATATCATCATTTAATGCACAAGTCAATAAATTTGATGTCCGTTGAATCACTTGATTGTCTCGTTATTAACAGTTTAACAATTCAATTAATAAAAATTAAAATTAGCAAAACTCAATTATGAAAAAAATATTGTCATTAATTAATATACCCTGTCATTATTTTTTATCTTTTTTGATATATATATATATATCCTGTCATTATTTTTTATCTTTTTTGATATATATATATATATTAATTATAGATCTCTTACGAATGAATTTTACTTAATAATATTATAATAAAAATATATGATTTAAATATTTTTTATTTTTATCTTTATATTTTTCTTTTTTATTTCCGAAGTAATCTAAAATTTGGTGAGGAGACCCATCATTACCACCTAGCAATAAGCAAACGCGTTTTTGGTCATCCCGTCGTCAACACGGTTTCTGGTTGAATCTGAAATTTGATTAGATAAGATCATGAAGAAAGAAAAACAAGTCTATCTAATCATGAAATATTATTGGTGGGGCAAAGTAATTGATTGAGTTTTTTCTGTTATAAATATGCTACCTAATATCATTCTTAAATTTCTTAACTGTTTTCTTTTATGAGTAGCGTTATACGCTTTTCGTACAGATATACGTGGCAACTTCTTTTTAATAAAAAGTTAATTATTTAAAATTTATGGCACAAAACATTAATTTGTATGAAAATATAATATATAAAATATTTCTATATAAATAAAATAACAAATTTCGTTATCACATGAATCTACACTCAAAAACTGGTGAGTTTTATAAAAGTTTTTATTATAAATCTCAATAATTTAATATATGAATAAGGTTATGAGAAGTGTAGTGCACACAATCATATCTCCTGTACTGTATATCATGGGACCGTGAGTTGGATTCGAATTTCAAGGCAAACAAGCGAGAAAAAAATTGTGGTCACGTGATCCGTGTGGGTTACCCAAGTCTTCTTATTAATCAAAATTAAAGAAAATGTTGGAATCCGTGCAACTCGTGTAGCGCATCCGGAGGCATCGGGACCCATTTGTTCTGTAGTCGATGATTTTGGGTCAACAACGCCGTTTGTTATAATAAAACTAATGTGAAATATTCATTTATTATTTAAAATATTATTCACACGTTTACAAATCACTCTCCTATGTTTATAAATTACTATCTTTTTTATTATTTATGATATTTTTATAATATTTTAATTTATAATATTTTAATTTTTTTTTAAAATTTAAAACTTTAACTCTATTATGATTTGATTTCATTTTTTTAATATTTTTTTATTAATTATTTTTATTATTTAAAATTTATTATTTTAATTTGTTAATTTTTTTTGAATTCTCATCCAATTAATTTTAACTTATATTTATTCACAGTTTTGTTTTATTTTTTCATATGTATGGATTTTGAAATAAATATTTTGAACATAACTTTTTTTCTTTTGAAAAATAGATTTAGATCATTTTTAAATTATAGTGGCATAATTAATATATATAATTTTTCTGAAATACTTTTTTAGATTAAAAGTGTATTTCAAATAATTTTTTCTCGATTTTTCATATTATTTTAAATTTACTACATTAATTTATCATTTTTTTTAAATTCTTTTTTTTAAAACAATTTTCATCTAATTAATTTAAAATTATATTTACTAAAAATTTTGATTTATTTTTTCATATGAATGGATTTTGGAATAAATTTTTAGAACATGATTATTATTATTTTTTTTTAAAATAAATTTAGATAATTTTTAAATTATAGTGGCATGATTAATATATATAATTTATCTGAAATACAGTTTTAGATTGAAAGTGTTTTTCAAATAATCTTTTCTTGACTTTTTTATGTTATTTAAAATTAACTACATTAGTTTTTTATTTTTTTAACTTTTTTTTTTTAATTTCAAGTTTTGATTATATTGTAATTTGTTTTCATTTTGTTTTAGTTTTTTTTATTTTTTTAATTATTTAAAATTTACTACTTTAATTTTTTTTTAAAAAGTTATCATCTAATTAATTTAAAATTATATTTACTGATAATTTTGATTTATTTTTCTAAATGTATGGATTTTGAAATAAATTTTTAGAACATGATTATTTTTTCTCTTGAAAAATAGATTTAGATAACTTTTAAATTGCAGTGGCGTGACTAATATATATAATTTGTCTAAAATATATTTTTAGATTAAAAGCGTATTTCAAATAATTTTTTTTCGGTTTTTTGTTTTAGGAAAAAACTCAAATTAGTTAATTAATAATTGAAAGTCAAATTAATATAGTTTTTTATTTTAATATTATTCTTTTTTTCTAAATAAATATATAAAAATTAAATTCATATTTTTTCAAAAACCGATATTCTCATAAACATTAAATAAAAAAATTATTTGTTCAATTCTATGTAAGCTTTTATTAATTGTTATTTATGTTTTTCGACACAATCTTATATAATATTAAAGTTTATTTTAAAAAAAATATTTAATTTTCTTTTTGGTTTATAATCCAAGGATTAACAAGGATAGATAATTTTTCTAAAGGAAATATTATGAAAAACACAAATAAGAAATAGTTAAATACAAAGTTTTTTATTAAAAAATTATAAATAATTTTTTTTCACCTTTGATTTCGTATATTTATATAGATTCACATCATAAAAGAGATTATTAAACTAAAATGATTTCTCTAAATGATTTTATATATTTTATCTAACCCGCAGCATACTTGGGTAAAAAAAAAACTAGTGTATTCAAAAGCAACAACACTCTTTGGATATTTTGATGAAAACTTAAAAATAAATAGATTCGAATAACAAATTTGGTCCTTGTATTTCATTAAAATTTACATTTCATATTCTGTTCTTTAATTTAATCTATAAGATATTTTAATTTTTAAAACTCCATTAGTTGAGTCATTTGTTTTCAAGAACCCTTCTCAATAGTATTGCCATATCAGCGATCAAAAGGTTATTTCCAAACAAATCCACTCTTTTGATAATTTCGCTTTTAGAAGGGCAAGAACTCATATAAAAAAAATAAATTAACTTAATCTGGATTGATTCTAAAACTGATGCCAAGATATCTGTAAATACAACAAAAATAATAAAAAAAACCTATTAAACAGACATTTGGATTAAGTGCAAATCATTTGGGCCGAGCAATGGTTTCGGGGTGAGGTGCAAGAGCAAATTCAAACATGTAACCTTCTTCAAATGTTCATCATGTGTTATTGGTATTAAATTATTAATGTAAAGTATTGCAGTGTGTTTTGAAGTGGTTGTTGACTAGCATGTAAAGAAATAGCTGGCAACTTTCATCTTTCCAAAAACAGAAATTTGTTGCTTCAGTATAGGAATAATGATGGCTAATTAATTGAATTCTCGCAATCTACTAACAGGTTTTCCATTTTACAGGTTACAAAAGCGTTGAGGGAAGCTGGCCTGGAGTCATCAAATCTCATTGTTGGAATCGATTTCACTAAAAGCAATGAATGGACAGGTTTGTGCAAGTGAAGTAATCATATCATGGGATTGTAGTATAAACATTATGTATTACTAATCAGTTATTCAGGAATTTGGATTTGAGACTTCCATGAAGTGGAACTAAAAGAGTCAAAAGCTGGAACACGAATCTGTAGGAGGCAATCTAATAATAGTAGAATTACCCTTTATAAACTAAGGACTGGAATGGTTATAACATGGCTATTTAAATTATACTCTGGTGCTTGTGTTCCTTTGAACTTGTTTGTGTTTTGATTTGTCTCTCATGGATGTCAATGTGTTGATTTTCATTTTAAAGGCAGAGTCTCATTCAAAAATCGTTGCCTTCATGCCATCGGAGACACACCTAATCCATATGAGAAAGCCATCTCTATTATTGGAAAGACTTTGGCTCCCTTTGACGAAGACAACTTAATTCCTTGTTTTGGCTTTGGTGATGGTATGTCCAGTCCCTGGAAGTTGAATTCTAACAATGTTGTTTCTAGTTTTGCCTTTTATAATTCAGCTGTTAAGTTGATTTTTTTTTTTTTTTTTTTGTAATCCATATAGCCACCACTCATGATCAAGAAGTGTTTAGCTTTCACAATGATCGTTCATCTTGTCATGGTTTTGAAGAAGTTCTGGCATGCTACAAAAGGATTGCTCCAAACTTGCGACTCTCAGGTTTGTTATTTGTTTATTTGATGTTGGAATTTGGTCTTTTATCCATTCGTTAGTTTTCTTAAGGAGACTCATGGTTAAACACATCTACAGATATTCTTGTGTTTTGCTTATTTTCTCTAGTCACTAAATCTTAACCAATGTATGTTTTGGTTTGAAAGGGCCAACTTCGTATGGACCAGTGATTGAGGCTGCAATCGACATTGTGGAAAAAAGCAAAGGCCAGTATCATGTATTACTCATCATTGCAGATGGGCAGGTTTGAATTGAAATCTCTCTCTTTCTCTGCATGCTTGCATGTGTTTATGTATGTATAGATTGCGTTTATGAGCAAATTAATAATCTCTTTTATTGTGAAGGTCACAAGAAGTGTCGACACAGGTAATGGAGAACTGAGTCCACAAGAAGAGCAAACGATCAAAGCAATTGTTGACGCAAGGTTGAGCCTTAAAATTGCATGCAAATTATTTAATCTAGCTTAGACTTCAGTTGATTCATAGAAATATATATCCTAGTGTCATAAAATAACTTTCATCTAATTAAAATAACAAACATAAGGCTCTTATTAGAACCATCGCTTTTTTCTAGGGTGCTTGGGGTGCTGGTCTGTTCATATTTAGTGTTGTGATGGTTCTGGAAAAAAGTTGTTAGTAGTTAGCTGCTTGATAAACTTGCACTTGTCATTGCACTCAAATGACCATGGCATTTCATTTTACGGCCTATATTTGACCTGCTATTGTTACATGACTTGCCTAGATGACCATATATGACACAGGCAGTTGCATAAAAAGATGGTGGTCAGCTGATGGCTGTCTTCATTTGTTGAGAAGTGATCCCATTTTGTGATGATGTCTGTCTCTTGTAAACTGCCAAATGAATCATAAGGGACTGACAATCTACTTTTAGATCCTAGTACGTATACAGATTATTTTGCCTCATAATCAGCTTGTTTTTCAATTATGATTAAGGAGCTGTCTTGATTTTGTTTGTGATGCTAGCCTGAGATTGCATTTGCATATGAAAAACATTTAAACTCCATATGGAACACGGAGGATGCAGAATAATTGCTTCATGTTCTTCTCCACATTCATCTATTCATAACTTTGTTTTACCTGTTCTATGTTCCCTAATATGTCACTGAGCCTGTATCAACATTAAGCGGATGTCAAGATGAATCTGATAATGTCAATCGTTGGATTTTAACCATGCCAGAAAATGGAGTTGTGTTTATACTGAAATGTGTACCATTTTTTTTTAACGAAAAGCGATCACCATGGGTAACCTTATGATATTCCTAACCAGTTCATATCCACTATCGATAATTCTCGTTGGAGTCGGTGATGGACCTTGGGAAGACATGAAGAGATTCGATGACAAAATCCCAGCACGTGAATTTGACAATTTTCAGGTATTGTGATGACAGAATGAAAGTTAACTTTGAATGGCATCCGATATTCTGCTTTAATTTAATTTACCTATTAGCACTTTATCAACATGTGTCTTTACTGAGTGCAGTTCGTTAATTTTACTGAAATTATGTCAAAAAATGCGACTCTCTCCGAGAAAGAAACAGCTTTTGCTCTAGCTGCCCTGATGGAGATTCCCTTCCAGTATAAAGCAGCCATCGAGTTTGGTATTATCGGGTAGGTTTGATTCACTTTTCCACTTTTAAACAGAACCGCATTGCCAGCATTTGAAAACGTTTTGAAAATTTAAAAACAAAGATGATGGGTTTCCATTTTTATCTTTCCCAGCATCCCTAATGCAATGACCATTTTGTTCTGCATGCCATTCATTTGTTTTTACATGTTGGCTCATATATTCTAATGGCCTTTGGAGAAAAGACGTGCCACGGGAAGAGCAAAGAAAATTGTACCACGCCCTCCACCAGTTCCTTATTCTCGTCGTCCAGTGCTGGATCGTGAGCCAACCAATGTTTCTTCTCCCGTCTTAGATGAAAGAACCCAGGTTTGACAATAATCTTCTGTATAATGCTGTCTTTTTGTCTGGAACATTGTAGCTCGGCAATAATTTCTAGCTTTGAAAATAATTTTTTTTTCTTTTTTCCAATTTTATTATAGGCGTGTCCTATTTGCCTGACTAATGGAAAGGACTTGGCCTTCGGCTGTGGGCACATGGTGAGTTGCCCCAAATCATTACCTGCTTTTGTGTCCTTTTTTCTTAACTTTTTTGTTATGACACTAATACCGTCGCTTGGTTGCAGACTTGTAGAGACTGCGGATCAAGAGTATCGAACTGTCCTATATGCCGCCGGCCAATAAACAGCCGTATCAGGCTGTTTGCTTAACGATTTGATCAGGGGAATTGTATTTTAAACCGTACATATTTGGATGTCTTGCCATCTTTTCTTCCGTATGTGTTTGTGTACGTGAATGAGGGTGTTTGTTCAGGTGTGGAGACAGAGACAGATTTCTCCGCCTTGTATCATGTTCTGTTTCTAAAGTTGCTGTAGATTTTTTTTTTCTTTTTCTGGAATGATGTAGAATATTTGATATGCTACAAACTTTAGCTAGTAGAATCACATTCACAACTGATTCATTTAGAATTTAAGAACACGCCCGGCAAAAATGTAAGCATATATTTTGTTTGGCCAAATTGCCCTTTAATCTAAATGTGATTAAATGTGTAGTACCAATTAATTGTATGGCTCGGTGTTAGCCGGGAAGCAATCCGCCAAGCCAAAGCCACCCATGCACTGCTCTAACATCCTCAAGTCCAATACTGGAGTGCAAATCCAAGGGTTTGCTGGGGCTTTCAGAAGGTAAACAGCTGCTCAGTTGCAAAATTCAGCCGAAGTTATGAATGTGCCCAAATGCTTTTAGCCTAAGGTTGTATGAATTTCTGTTTCAACCCGCTTCCTTGCCGACATCAAACCATAAAATTAACAGGAATAGATGTAAGCCATGTGAGAAATCCACCAATGAGTTACCTTTTGCTCCAATGCGATTTGGATGAATCCTATTATCAAACACTGCCTGCTTGACTGTAAAAGATGTTCTTGTGCATAAAACATGTCACTTCCTTCCAAGCCTCGTATGCCAGACCTGGAATCAACCCCAGGCACCAACACCATCATCGCTCTCAAACTACCAAGAAACTGCTAATTGCAGAGAACTAAAGGAAGCATTTGGGTGAAAATGCGGAAAAAAAATAAGGCAACTTAGAAACAATATAATATAAAATTCATTGTCATTTACAGCAGGTATAAAGAAAACACTACCAACCCAGAAAAATTCCAAAAAAATCACACAAGCCACAAGCTGCTGCTGCGTAACAAGAAGAAAAAGTAACATTTTCCAGTTTTTGTCCTGCCATGACATTAATTTACCAAATATAGGAAGTGCCACACCGCAAGAACCAACAGCTAATCTACTTCTTTCGATTGTTATCAAGTTTCTGTTCCATGTCAGCTTCAGTGTTATTCTGCTTAGGTATTGGCTGAATTCTCACGTATGGTTTTCTTGTCAATGTCTCCCCTCTCAGAGCAGCTACATAGCGATCGTTTGTATCCTCTTTCCGCTGCAGCTCCCCAAGGTATTCTGCCAGTCTCTCTCGATTAACTTTACCCATCATCTGATTGAGAAATTCAAACAAATAAAATTTTTCAACGTGTACCTCCATGAGAAGATGAAATGCTTTATACAATTTACAGTATAATTAAACCCATTTATTAAAATAAAACGAACTGGTTCAATACCGAGACTAGTTAAAGATCTCAAGTTTGAACATACAAATTCATCTCAAAATAATAGGACTAACATAGCTTAAATTAAAGTTGTTTAAGATTGTTTAATCATGATCCAAGATTGTGGGGGCAATATGCTCCAAGGACACAGACAGAGACAAAAGAGGAAGCAACCAACGCATCTAAAGCAGTTGCTCAGAGGTCACAGTTATGCATTTTCATTCCTGGGATTGCCAAAAGCTGATTTAAGTTAGAAGTGGCCGTAGTTAGGGAAATTCATCTGCCATATTTCGAAATTTACAAGCTTAACCAAGACGAAAAGTTTCCAATGACTAGTTTGCGACTTTGTGCTAATTGTGGTACCCTAAGCAGCTTTACCCTCCCATTATACTTTTCTTGATACCTTAAAACACAGACATCTCCGATGACCAGGAGTCTTTTCCGGTGAATTCTTTTCTATAGTTCGATACTAAAATGCTCATAAATATATAAAAACAGTACAATTTTGTGTCAAGAGCATTAGAATCAAATTCTTAAATGAACAAAGATAACTGCGACAAAATAAGCAGAAAAATTAAATATGTCACTCATCACCAAAAATGGGCAATGCCTAAAAATACGTAGATCAAACGTTTCATGGAGAAAAACGAAGGTGATTCAAGAATTTTTTTGTATTTTAAAAAAACGTACAAGGGAATCAGGACGGGCGTTCTGGCGGAGGCGAGCTTCGAGCTCAGGGTTGCGGGCGTTGGTGGTCTGCATCACGAAATACCCAATCACACCTGGAACGACACCGCATACTGTAGCGAATGCGAAGAAGAATGGCTTTGAGTCTCTTGTCCTCCTCACTATCCACCTCCATGCCTCGCTCTTTTCCCACAGTATCGACATCTTCCTCCCCTCTCTCACTCTCTCTCACCGACTTGGACTTGGGGAAGCTTAGCTTAACCTATCAACTGATTCTGGGGCCGGCCCTTACAGTTTGAAGCAAAGATAAAGAGGCCCAAACATGAATTAAGCCTAATTTATTTTGGGCCGATGTTATCTCAAGATTTTTTTCTTTTGGTATTATTGAGCACTGTATATTGGGCAGCAAATTCTCTCTGTCCTGCAAAATATTCATGCCATAACAAAAACTTTTACATGGGCGTTGTCTGTTTGACCAAACAAAGTCTTGATATTTAGTATTAACGGGTTATAATGGCAGAATGGATTGTACCAATCAATTAAATTGTTTTGGCCAACATGTAATTGATTTATGTAATCACGCATACCACATTCCAATTCACATGATATTCCTTCTTCTTCTTCTTCTTTTTTCATTTTATAAGCTCATATTTATTTTTACATATGTCTCACAATATGTATTTACTTTATACATGAAATACACTACATTTATCAAAAAAAAAAAAAAAAAAAGGAAGGAAGGAAGGAAGGAATACAATACAAACTATGGTTTTCAAATCTTATCTTCAATTATTCTAATTAATTGCTACTTTAATTCAAATTAAATGAGTTTTTACATTTGGCAAGACAGATAATTTTTTAGAATAATTATACGATAGACACAGAAAAAATTCTCTAGTTAGATAAAAGAGATCCTAAAAGAGGTGGTTTGAAATGAGATTTTTTTATTTATTTTGATTTTGATTTTTTAAAGATATTTTTTATCTTAGGGGGTGTTTGATAACCTAATTAAGTAGCCTAAAAAATTAAGTTGTACTACTTAATATAAAAATATTGTTTGATAACTTAAATGATCTCATATTAAAACTTTAAGTTCAGTTAAAATCCACTTAATCGGATAAGTTAAAATTTTTAACTTATCGGATTAAGTCAAACTATCTAAAACATACTCTCTCTCTCTCTCTCTCTCTCTCTCTCTCTCTCTCTCTCTCTATATATATATATATATATATATATATATATATACAGAATTTATAAATAATAATAATAATTTTTGAAAAATAAAATACTCATTTGAAAAGCATAAAAATAATTCATTATATAAATTATAATAATATATTTTTAAAAAATAAAACATCGACGTTATAAAATTTTATTCCAAAATTCATACATTAAAAAATCAAATTTATTAAAAAATAAAATTATATCAAAAATTAATTTGATGAAAATTTTAGTAAGAAAAAAATAATTGAAAAAAATAAATTTTAAACAATAAGAGTAATATAATCGGATACATATGTTCAAACTAAAATCTTAAAAAATATCATATATATTCTATCATCTTCAAATATGCTTATTATATTCAGTACTTAATTTTTCGTAAATAACAAACGAACTTGTCGAGAACATATTCGGTATTTAATAGATTCGAGCACTTAAAATTCAGTATTTAATAGATTCGAACTTAATTTTTAGTTTTATCAAACAAGCACCTTACAATGTAAAACTAATCTTGTTCGGAATAAAAACAATAATGTTTAAATTTTTTTAATAAATACGATCTCTAAGATTTAGTAATTACAAAAGATTATCCTAATTATTATAAAGTTAAAGACTCGTAGGTGGACCTTCTAATGGAAAAAAAGTATGGAGAGAATTTCCTCATTAACTTGTAGTCATTCAATTGAATGAGAAAAACCCTCACCTCATTACTCATCATTTATGTATATATTATGAAAGAATAATGAGACGTAAGCACAATTTTTTTTGACAGACAATGTGAATAACTTACATATCATTTTATTTTATGTAAAAAAAATCATGCTATCATTTACAAAAAGTTGGCACATTTGAAATGTACTGTAGGCGTCACTTCTGGTTAGTTCAGTTGGTAAAGCAAGACTGATTGCTTCATCGATAAAAAAAAGCATTTCGGAATAAAAAAATGGAATACGGAAGTTATTTTTTTATTTTCACTATATTTAATTTCATAGCCTGGAATGAAACTACGCTCATGCGTCTACAGGTACGGATGAAGAATTATATTCTTGAGAGTATCTCAACCGCCCGCTGCGTGCCTACGTCTTTGCGATGCCTCCAAATAAAAGCGTGGAATGGAAGCTACCATGTTAATTAATTACTATTTTCAAACCTTTAACATTACTGGATAATTAGATAACTTATAACGATTAAATGACGTCAAGAGTATATTTTAAAATTTTAGGTATAATTATTTTTATTATAATCTCTATTTAATTGTTAAGTTTTTTTTTATAAGAATTTGTTACATTTATTTAATTAGACGAGTATTATTAGAAAATTAGTACATTAAATAATTTTTTTTATCATATTCAATATTATTAGGGTTTTAATTTTCTTATTTAAAAAGCTGTAATAGCATTTTGATTAAAAAATAAATAAATAATAAAAAATCGAGGTATTTATGTTTTTTCTACAACTTATACAGTTTTTTTTTAAAAGGTTTTTTAGTACTTACTAGCAAACCTTGTATCATTTTTGCTATATGCTGTATTAATTGATATCACAGTGAGATTTACTATACTGGTGAGCAAAATTGTAGCAACTATCTTTGAAGAAATTTTATAATACACAAAGAGTAATTAGTGACATATATAATAATTACTCGTATGACTCCACTTTGAGGAAAGAGATAGATACAAAAAAGAAGAGAAAAATAGGATAGAGAAAATTAAAAAAAAATTAGCGAACATGAAAATCTTCTTATCACTTTTGATGGGTTCGGATATAATTCAATGTGTCTATCTCTCTTCTCAAAGTAAGTCGATGGAGTAACTACCGTATGTGTCACTAATTACTTTTTGTATATTATAAAATTTCTCGTAAGAGTTTAGTAGCATGTACGATAGTTACTATATAGATTCACTTTGAGAAAAGAGATAGACACAAAATAAGAAGAGAGAAATTTTTTTAAAAAATAATGAACTTGAAAATCTTATTATCACTTTTGGTGGATTCGGATGTAATTCAATATATCTATCTCTCTTCTCAAAGTGAGTCCATGAAGTAACCACCTGTACATGTCACTAATTATTTCTTGTGTATTATAAAATTTCTCGTAAGAGTTTAGTGGCATGTACAATAGTTACTATATGGATCCACTTTGAGGAAAGAGATAGACACAAAAAAGGAGAGAGAAAATTAAAAAAATTAGCAAACGTGAAAATCTTCTTATCATTTTTTGTGAATTCAGGTGTAATTCAATGTGTCTATCTTTCTCGTTAAAGTGAATCTATGAAGCAACTACTGTACATGTCACTAGTTACTCCTTGTGTGTTATAAAATTTCTCGTAAGAGTTTAGTGAAAATTAAAAAAAGATCATGATATCATGATGATAGATGTCAATGTGTATCATGATTATAATAAGTGTCATTATCCTATTCGTTGTCATGTTCTTATTTTTGATAAAGTTTCAATTGAAAGTTGTAATAGAGGTATGTATACTAGATTTAATTATGAGACCAACAAATTTCAATTAGAGTTTCATATTGCAAATTTGAGTGGAGATTTTAGTGTTAAAGAATTTATAAATTGGCTTGCTAATGTTATTGAGTGATGGAATATTTAAGATTGTTAAAAGGGGAGATAAAACAATTCGTTGGATTTAGTTTAATATGATTTTTTTTTAATTGATAGGTCGGGATACTTGGCTACACAATGAAAGATGAAAAATATATCTCTCATTAAAGAGTAACTAAATAAACTAAAATCATTAAGATTCAAATTTATTTTATTAAAAAAATTATCGATATTGGATACATAATTGTTAGATTGTAGTTGTTGTAGAGAAATATTTTTCTTATGGTGAAATAATAATCGGGATGGTTTGATAGCAAAACGGTAAAATGTTATTATAAATTGGTTTTGTATGAGAATGGAGTTAAAATATATTTGGCCCTTTAAATTAAATATCAAAAAAAGTAAAACCAAAAGATAATTTGTCGAGACGTATTGGCGTGAAAAACAGAAGCCTTCTAGTGTCCTACCAAATAACAATGTCGTGGAAGCAAGTTTTCAAGAGGTTAAGGCTCTATTTGTTTGGCCACAAAACAACTTCCAATATAAAAAGCAATTTAGGAGAAGCTATTTTTTAAGAAGCTGTTTTTCAAAAAAAATATTTTTTGATGTTTAGCAATTATATGAAAAAGCTGTTGAAAAATATATTCCGGTGTTTGTTTGATACAAAAAACAAAAATATAAAAACAGTCGTGATTGTTATATCAACGAGTTTTGAGAAAACTTCAAAAAGGCATATTTACAATCTCGGAATATAAAGATTATTAAAATACCCCACATCCATAATAATCCGTATACAAAAAATGATCAAAATAGAGTATATGAGCTACTCGTTATAATGGTTTATCGAACGAAAAGAGACCCATGGTGTTGAAATATCATTTCGACTATTTTTTTTTTCATTTAGATGTAGGAAATATTTTTAAATCAATTTTCAATTGAAACTAAATCTTTTTTTTGAATTATAAATATATTTTTAAAACTAATAAGATACACTTAGAAAAATTTAATAAATCTTTATAAATACCGACTCTAAGATTTAAGTTCAAAAAATAAAATTTACATTTTTAACCATCAAACCAATTCATCAAAACTATTTGAGACAAAATCAAGTCAATATTCACGTTTAGTTAAAAAAAAAATCTAAATAATCATAACATTGTCATTTTGGTAACTCAATTAAGAATCTTTTTTTTTTTTGGAAATTAAACTCGATAATTTAATCTAAAACATAGTTTTATAAATTATTAATTATCATTTTTAGATAATTATTCATTTGGTTTCAAAAGATTAATGTTGGAATAATTTGTAATTAATTATTGACTATAATTACCAACAAAATTTTACAACCGATTAAACTTAGTCATAAATTATTGATTCAGATTGCAAATAAATAGTGTTGGAAAAATAATGTGCTTATCAATGAATT